TGCCAAGGTGTGGGGCAGACGGCCATACGGGTCGACATGCCCAAGGAAGGTGACAATATCCTAAAATTCGACAACCACAAGAACCAAATGTCTGTGCCTTATATCATATACGCCGACTTTGAAGCCTTGGTCAAACCTGTTACAGGTGGGGTTGTTGGGGATACCCCAACCACACTCAAAACACAGGAGCATGAAGCCTGTGGGTTTGGATACATTGTCGTCCGTCGTGACGGGGAAACGAAAGCTCCGGTAGTGTATAGGGGTCCTGACGCAGCTGAAAGGTTTCTTAAGTATTTGCAGGAGGAAGAAAACATTATTAGGAATGCGTTGTATAGAGTCGCTCCCATGCGTATGACCCAAGCCGACAGGCTAGCTCACGCCTGTAGCACTAATTGTCACGTGTGCGACTCACCACTTAACGGTGATTCGGTAAGAGATCACTGTCACGTAACCGGTAAGTATAGAGGCGCCGCTCATAGCGCGTGTAACCTCAAGCTTAGAATCACCCCTAAGACAATAAACATCCCCGTTGTCTTTCACAACTTGAGAGGGTATGACTCACACTTGATCATGCAGGCCATCGCGAAAATCGATGGTAATATAACGTGCATCCCCAACAACATGGAGAGATACATCTCCTTCAGCTTAAACGGTCTTAGGTTCATAGATTCAGTACAATTTCTATTGTCTTCACTAGACAGTCTGGTCAAGGCCAATGATACCTTCCCTATTACCGATCGATACACAGACGCCGAGACTAGACCCCTGCTTATCAGGAAGGGTGTGTACCCCTATGAGTACATGGATAGTTGGCCCAAGTTCGCTGAGACCAGACTACCCCCCATCAGAGAATTTTACAGCAATCTGACAGACTCGGAAATATCCCAAGACGATTACTCGCACGCTATTAATGTATGGGATAAACTAGGTTGTAAGAACCTGGGTGACTATCACGACCTGTACTTGAGGACAGATGTACTGCTGTTAGCCGACGTGTTTGAGACGTTTAGGCGGACATGTTTCAAGCATTACAAACTCTACCCCGCATGGTATTACACCAGCCCAGGTCTGTCGTGGGATGCCTTGCTTAAAAAGACCGGAGTTAAGTTGGAATTGCTTACGGATTACGACATGCACCTATTCATTGAGAAAGGCTTGCGAGGTGGGATCTCCATGGCAACCAAACGATACGCGAAAAGCAAATAATCAATATTGAAGGGCTACGACCCTAACAAACCAACCAATCATATTCTCTACCTCGACGCCAACAACCTGTACGGCTGGGCTATGAGTCAGTATCTACCCACAGGGGGATTCGAATGGGTGCCACATGTTGATGTTATGAGCATCGCGCCAGATTCGAACAAAGGTTATATCCTCGAGGTTGACTTAGAGTACCCCAAGGCATTACACACATCACACAACAGCTACCCCCTGGCCCCGAACGTATGAGGGTTAACCCAGACTGGATGTCTGAGTACCAACATAACTTATTAGGTGGGCGGGTGGCAGACGTTGAAAAACTCGTGCCCAACTTAATGAATAAGACCAAGTACATCGTTCACTATCGCAACCTACAGCTGTACCTGTCGTTGGGTATGAGGCTTACCAAAATACACAGGGTGCTCGTGTTCAACCAGAGCCCATGGATGGAGCCTTACATCAGAATGAACACAGACCTCCGAAAGCTTGCCACCAGTGACTTTGAGAAAAACCTCTACAAGCTCATGAACAACTCAGTGTTTGGTAAGACTATGGAGAACCTGAGGAAACGCTGTGATCAGAAGCTGGTTCGGTCGAATGAGGAAGACAAGCTCAGGAGACTGATAGCCAGTCTGGCATTCAACCGTAGCAAGATATTCACCGATGATTTAGTTGCCCTACACATGAAGAAAAGCCACATAAAATTCAACCGCCTGTTTACGTGGGGATGAGCATCCTCGATTTATCCAAACACCTGATGTACGACTTTTTACTACAACGAGCTTAAGAAACAGTACGACGACAGGTGTGAAGTGCTGTACACTGACACGGATTCCCTGCTGATGGAGATTCGAACCGAGGACGGTAACGAGGACATGAAAAACACCTCGATTTGTATGACACCAGCGACTACCCCAAGGACCATACCATACACAGCACGGTAAATAAAAAGGTCCTAGGTAAGATGAAGGACGAGTGTGCTGGCAGACGCCCATAGCCGAAAGTACATAGGGTTGAGACCTAAGATGTACTCCATCCTGAAGGCCGACAATAGTGAGATCTGGAAGGCTAAGGGTGTTAAGAAGTACAATGGTGAAACAACACATCAAACACGCCAGATTCAAGGAAGCCCTGTTCAAGACCCGTACCTTTAGACATAAAATGAACACACTTAGAAGTGATGGTCATAAGATATATGGACTGACAATAAACAAGACGTCCCTGTCGCCTATGGATACTAAACGTTGGATAGCTATTGATGGGATAAACACGTACGCGTACGGGCATGAGAAAATTGAACCAAGAACATAGATATAAATATGTCACGGAACCAGAGAAAGTTTGAGGCTATTTACTATAGCCCGTGGGTACTGGAAAGGAGCTAGCGCTGTAGATAAGCTGGCTAAAATGGGAAAGTACCCCGGAGGAAGCCAAAGCGTGGCTTGAAAAACAAGCCCTGTGGCAGATCTATTTGCCGCCACCACGCTACGTGCCTAGAAGGAAGTTTGGAATTAACATACCTAATAGTGTTCACCAGGCAGACCTACTGTTCCTACCCCACGACAAGAGGTACAAGTATGCCTTAACCGTAGTGGACGTAGCCAGTCGCTACAAGGAAGCCGAGCCCTTGACCACGAAAGATTCGGTCCAGGTAGCCAGAGGATTCGAACGCATATGCAAACGCAGTCCGCTGGCGTGGCCAACAGAGCTGCAAGTTGACCCCGGGTGGGAGTTCATGGGTGCCGTGTCACAACTGCTAGCCAAACACGATACAAAGGTCAGGCGTGGCACGGCTGGAGCCCATCGCAGTCAAGCCATAGTTGAGAGATTCAATAGGACTTTGGCTGAGCGCTTATTCGGACATCAGTATGCGAGGGAGATGGCCACCCCGGGAAAACGATCGACTGAATGGGTCACAAGGTTACCTAAGGTGGTGTCGGCAATCAACCATGAAGTCACCCATCTCACCGGGCAAGAAACCGGCAGACGCTATCAAACTAAAATCAATAGTGGCAGAGCCGGCTGCTCCATTGCGTGGGAAGGAGAAACAGATACCAGATAGGGCCCTAGTTAGGTATCTATACCAGCATGGGGAACATGAGGGTGATAGCCGTAAGCGAGCCACCGATCCTATATGGTCAGTCAAAACTTACAACATAGATAAAGTTGACATGAAAGCCGACGAGCCTAACTTGTACTACTTGAGGGATGGACCAGGCAGAGGGTTTGTAAGAGAAGAATTATTGATCGTACCGTACGGCACAGTGTTACCACCAGTCAACGTGGCATAGATGACAATTCCCCTTGGGAGGAAGCGCAATACATTTCTATTTCTCCCTTGGGGAATTGTGGCTGCCGGGGACATTTTACTAGTAGGGGTAATGGCAGCAAGAGCTAAGGGTCCGACCAAAGCCTTATTTGGGAAATAAGGCTTTGCAGAGGCTTTTGTTGGACTTGATCTCGGACTATCATTCCCTCTACTACTGGTCCAGACTCGATTATTTACTGACCGCCGCCGCCATATAGCTGGAATATTGCTGAGTGCGGCGTAAAACTAAACTCACTAATAATATTTTGTTTATGTAAGGGACATAACTCCTGTTAGCTTTTCATTGAATCTTGCTTTCAGTCACCGTAATGGTTATCTAGAGATGTTTTGCTGTGGATATTTCTCTCTTATTTTTTCCTTAAAGTAGGCCACTGATGGTTTAGCCACATCAAGAAAACATGACGCAGAAAGTTGTCTTCAAAACAATGTCGGGGAAGTGGAGTAACATGGTGGTTAAAGTGTTTGCTCATCACGCCAAAGACCCAGTTCAATTCCCCACATGGGTACAATGTAATTGATTTTGACCAATCACGACTCTTATAGCAGACTGTGGCGAAAAAGCGTCACTAGAAACCAATCTTTATCCAATAAAATCGCTTCTTACAACTGTGAAAATACTCTCAGCAAGGGTATAGTGATATTGTTGATGTTCAGAGCTTTCCAACGATACCCGCCATCAAACGATTCGCCTCGCATGTTATTCATACGAAGCTTCGAAAACGGAGGTATTTTCCGTTGTTGTGTCATGTTACCGAGAGGAAAGCCACTGATATCGGGAAATAGGCGACCATACATATTATTTAAGAAATCTTAAAGATTTCTTAAATAATATGCATGGTCGCCTATTTCCCGATATCAGTGGCTTTTAATAATTTTCTGATTACGTAAAAATGAAAATATAAAAGAAAAAGGCACGGGGATGTTATGACAATTCACAAATGGAAAAAAATCGTCATAGTTTTTGCTTCTTTTGTGATATTTCTCGATATTATAAATGCTTGCATTTTCATTAAAAACTCAATTTATCTAAGTTGTAGTTGTATTATTTGAAAAATGTTAGAAAAATAAATTTCATATTTATCAACAGTGGGATTAGATCTTTTAATTTTGCTGTATATCTAGAATCCAAGTTGCAACATTAAATGTCATTAACAATTTAGTTATATGATGCCATTGGGATTTAAAAAATGTCAAAAAGAGCTTTAGGTCAATGGCCTATCGCCAGACACCCACTCAGGACATTTGTCCTACAAATTTTTATAGGCTTCAAAATCACTGTTAATCCTGAAAATTCTGGACTGGTAACTTTCCAGCCGGTCTGGTAACTTTTGAGAGTTACCAGACCAGTTGTCTGGCCGAAATTTTGGGGAGTTTACAACACTGCTAAAAGCGAAGTAAAACTAGTCCACTCAGTCCATGACTCGTCCTGAGATGTACCCAGCTGTTGCTGCAACTGTTTGTGTTCCAGAGAGTACCAGGCCTCCAACATCAGCATCCACATGTGGACGGTCAACTCCGAGTGGATGTACTCCCTGTGTTGGTGCATGGGCATCTCGTCCGTCACATCCGACAGCTGCCACAAACTGAAAAACATCCAGGCACCGATCTGGCACCTGGTAAGCTGCACTTTAGCTCTGATACTCACACACACTACCACTTATCCACACATGACCAAAACCAACACTTAAAAAACATGCATCCAGCAACACACCCACAAAGACATCCATCAACACACCCACCAAGACATCCATCAACACACCCACAAAGACATCCATCAACACACCCACCAAGACATCCATCAACACACCCACAAAGGTACCACCCACTTTTTAAAACAACCAGTTAATCATTGCTTATTCTCATCATCAGAATCAAATATTGATGGTTTTGTCACAGAATGAAACATGGTCCTGTCAGTACTCATTGTACAGGATTTTGTTTCCACTGGTGAACTTGTAAAACAGAAGAGTCAACAGATTGGTTTGTTTGTTGCAGGTACCGTCCAGCTACCTGATCCTGTGGGTGACCGTGGACGTCTTGTCAGCTGTGATAATCATCACGGTGTTTATAGTACAGAGGTGTGTGCAACACTTGAATCCCATTATGTTGAATCCCATTGTCCTCGTTAAGTGTGCCCACATTTCTATCATGTAACTGTTGTTGAAGAATGGTACACTGGTGTCAGTTTTGGTCTGATATTTGAGTCCCACTTCAGTGGATTTGAAACGTGTGGAATGAAAAGTGTGGTGCTGGGCTCTCTACAGGTTGTGCCTTCGTCCTCTGAATCTTATACACGCATCTGACCCGTGAAGGTCCCGGTTAGAATTGGTCTTCAGTAACCCATGCTTATCGTAATAGGTGACTAATGGGATTGGTTGACACATATCATCGTATCCCTGATGTGGAAATTGATGCACATGTTGTTGATCACTCGTTTGTCTGGACCAGATTATTTACAGACCGCAGCCATATAGCTGAGAGAGTGCTGACTCTGGCGTTAATCAACATACAAACTAACAATTAGACATACGTATGAAACGGGCAGAATCTTAAATATAGCTTTGTAAAAGGACTGCATTTGAAGGCTGAGTGAGTGAGTCAGTCAGCAATATTCCAGCTATATGGTGGCGGATCCAGTGATCAACAGCATGCTCATCGATCAGCCCAATTGGGAACCGATGACATTTGTCAACCAAGTCAGCAAGCCTGACCACCCGATCCCGTTAGTTGCCTCTTACCACAAGCATGGGTTACTGAAGGTTCATTCTAGCCCAGACCTTCAGGGGTTACTTGAACACCGATTATATCATAATAACTCACAATATGCACTGACACTGAACTTTTCTCAATAGCACAACAGCCTGAGACATGTGACATTCTGCTTTCAGAATCCGACTGTATGGGACTTCATTTAGCCCTGAAACCATCTCCCTGAACAGCGCGGCCCGCAGCTCCCAGGGACACCGATCTCGCAATATGAAGGAGAAACTGCTGTACAACATGACGGATGGGGACCTCGTGGAGGAGGTGGATGTACGTGCTGGCCACGGCGGCGTGGTCAACCAGCCCGCTTCATCGTACTCCATGGCCTCCATCAACAACGACCCCTACTCCAGTAGATACCACAATGGAAACACCTTCCCCGACAGCAAGTACGAAGTGGAGTAGGACAGCGGTCACTATGACAACAATCTTTCTTGTGACACAAGTTTGGATGCAATATCTTTATCTGTGTATCATGTGTACACAGAGCCTTGTGAGCTTATGTTTCTTGTCACTGAATGTCCGCTAGTCGTCTTTGTCAAAGGCAGTAGTTTTCTATGTGTGAACGTGTTGTGATGTTGGATCATTCCAAGAGAAGTGGGTTCATCAATTTGTTCCTTGTCATTAAAAGGGAAATCATTGTCAGATAGAAAAATTTCTTTTTACAAAATACAGGGGATTGCTGAACCGGATGACTTCTTTTCGGATTTCCAGGGAAGTCAGAATCTGCAAAATGTTACTAATCCCATTGCAGTTGAATTAGCCATTTGGGTTTTGTCGAGCAAGTAATCATTATCAAAACTTTGAGACCATTATCGGTAATGAGCTTATTATTCATCTGCAACTGAGAGAAACCTAACTGCTTGTTGATATGACCTGACATGGAACTTTCATGACCAAATGTCCAGAAACTGATCATATGTAGATCCGTGGTATGCGTTTGAAGCAAGTATGGTGAACCTGTTGATCTTTGATAACGCTGCATGACAAGATACTTGCTACAACTTGCTATGTCCTGCTGCCTTGGTCAGTGTGCGTGACTTGAAGGATGAACGATGTTTGTGTGCACTGTGGTGGAGTTTAACCCTTTGGTTTTACCAGGTATTGTGAAGGTGAGCTCCAGTACCAGACTACACGGACAGTGATGGTCAGTCCACACAGACTTTGGTTTTCTATCAGTTGGTCTATGAACAAATGAACACCTGATTGAGAGAATTACTTTTTTGATATTGTGCATGAGATGGGGTTGGGCTTTAGGGAGTGAGGAACTTTGTTTCACATTTGTGTGTCACCTAGAACGGTATTATTGTAGGCAACTCGAAGGTGGACCATATCTGTGTACAAATTGATGACTTTAGAAACTGGTGTTGTTACAGTTGGCAATACAAAGTTCTGATACCCATGATGTTACCAACTGATCCTTGTGAGTGTCAGCAGCTTCAAATCAGTATTTAACTTTTTCGTCCAAATTAGAGCTTTAAGTCCCAGAGAAAACTGGTTGGCTTTTCATCCATTCATAGAAATTCATAATTCATAGAAGCTTTTTGATAATTATTCTACCACCTCCTTGAAATTTTCGCCCAAACTGACACTAAACAAAAAGATCGTGTGTGAGAGAGCCATGTGTGTGGACAAGGTGTTTTATATGGTGCACATATTTAAAATATTTATGAAGTATTATTAGAACATTTGCATATCATCCAGGTATTCTATATTTTTGTACTGTTTGAGGATGCTAATCAGACATGAGCAATGCAATCAAGTAGGGGTGGGTATTGCAGAGAATTTCGATATTGCGATATATTGCGATGCGAAAGCATATATTGCGATATGTATTGAAATATATTGCAAGAATTATTTTTTAACAAAAACTACTTATAATCGAGTTAATGCTTGATTATAAAGCAAAAACACAACAAAATGACTATGATTGATTAACCTTTACTGAAAACTTTTAATCATGACAAAATAAAAATGTAAGTAACATTTGGCACTAATGAAACAAGGAAAAGAACAATTTAAAAAGCGGAAATATCCGAAGATTTCCGAGTGTTACGAAGTTTTCTGAATGCATGTCGAAATACCGGTTTTCGATCAGCGCATCGCAATACGTATCATTTTCATGTCTGAACCGGTAAATACCGGTAAACCGGTTATATTGCGCAGCCCTATAATCAAGTTTGTATCCGAATCAAACAGGAGTAAGGATGTAGCTATGTCCGCTGATCTGATTATCTGTGTGTTGTTGAAGACTTTGCAGTTTTGTTGAAGGTTTCTTATCTTATGAACTATCACTGGCAAGGGAATCTCTTTTAATGCTGTTTTATTACAGTCCACTGTCTGTTTGTCCACGGGTATTCTTCTTGCACATTGCCCTGAAGTTGATCCATTATATTTTATATGCCAGTTGGAAGAACAGGTTTGAATAAATGTAATTATGAGTAGTTGTTAAGCAATGAGTATAACCAGAATATTACCGGAACATGATACAGGTGTAACTGGTGTGTAACTAGTTCGTAACCAGAGCTCACCCGTGTATCACCGGAGCATACTCCGAGCATCACTGGTGTGTAACTAGGTCGTTACCAGAGCTCACCCGTGTATCACCGGAGCATACTCCGAGCATCACTGGTGTGTAACTAGGTCGTAACCAGAGCTCACCCGTGTGTCACCGGAGCATACTCCGAGCATCACTGGTGTGTAACTAGCTTGTAACCAGAGCTCACCTGCGTATAACCGGAGCATACTCTGAGCATCACTGGTGTGTAACTAGTTCGTAACCAGAGCTCACCCGTGTGTCACCGGAGCATACTCCGAGCATCACCAGAGTGTCACAGGTGGGCAACTAGTCTATTAACGGAGCTTTAACGGAACCTCACTGTAGTCAGTTCCTAAACCTAAACTATGTGTACAAAGGTAAGATGACACCAACTAATTTCTAATCATCATTTACATGTACTTTGACATGCTACAAGTTTTACACTTTTTTCACCTTTACAGTTATATTTTAGTTTCTCAGTTTTGATGGCTTGTTATACTGTCAGTATCTGAATCAGCATTAGTTTTATTACACAAGGAACGTTCCTTGAATAGTCCTATAGCACAGGGACCAACAACAGCCAGCTGCTGTGTTGAGAGAATCCCAGGATACCGTTCCACAAAGCTGCCTTTCCTTACCAAGACTTACATGAAGACTGGCATCGGTCTGTGGATCTGGATCCAGATGTACACGTTATTTCAGCCTTAATATATAGCATCTTATTGTTAATGTTATCTGTGTCACAAGAAGGGAGTCTTTGCTTAGTCATTGCCAGGGCTGTAAGAAATAATGGTGAGAAATCAGTACGTTTAACAGTGGTGTCCAGTAGGGCTGCGACGATTCGGGGTGATCGAAAATCAAATCTGACACCTTAGTTTCGATTTTTGATAAGCATTATATCACTATTTCGATTCGATATTTGAATATCTATTTAAATTATTTCCACACACAGAGAATGTTATTTTGACTCCAACCCATACAGCGCTTAAATTAGGCAAAACGTGATTGGTTGATGCCGGACTAATTATCCATTGAGAACTGTTGATAGTAGACATCACCAAAGTGCTGGTGGTTAAACATCATATTATATTTGTTTGAAAAAGGTTACATCCTTTACATTCCTGATTTCCTTGTAAAATCTTGGAGAACGGTTTTCAATGTGATATGTTTTGTTTAATAATTTCTGAGAGTTAAATGAAATCTGATGGTTTTTTGTATGAAGAATCGAATCGAAAATGATCAAAACGAGGGTCCAATATCAAAACTCGAATCGAGATCTGCGTGAGTCGCCGCAGCCCTAGTGTCCAGTCTCTTGTGGCGACTGACCACAGTGTGAAATATACAAATGTATTCACCAGAGGTGTTTCAGTTGCAACCTTAAGTCATGAAATATACTCCTGTACCTACCAAAGATTTTGGCTCTTTTAAACCTGTACATGCATCCCATAATATACGGAGGCTCTTAACAGAGGATATATGTCACAATGTTTTAACTCCTGTTCACAATTAGTCATCCTTCTTTTGTTTCAATGGTTTTCCTAGTCTGACAGTTTTCTCCCAGTCATATTTTGTTGTTTTATTTGTGAGATCTGTTTGACACGAGCAACGGGTTGGGTTCCAGCTTGCCGCGTATTTTCATCAAAGGCTGAAATGCTAAATATTTCTTGTATAGTTTGTATTTATAACGTGACATTATATATTTACATGACATTCTCCACATGCCTTGATAAGGGACACAATAGGCTACAGGTACATCTGCAGATTACAGGTACATCATGCATACATGTAGACGACGGAGGTGGGCATGTAGATACAGGTACATCTGCAGATTACAGGTACATCATGCACACATGTAGACGACGGAGGTGGGCATGTAGATACAGGTACATCTGCAGATTACAGGTACATCATGCACACATGTAGACGACGGAGGTGGGCATGAAGGAACAGGTACATCTGCAGATTACAGGTACATCATGCACACATGTACACATGCAGACGACGGAGGTGGGCATGTAGATACAGGTACATCTGCAGATTACAGGTACATCATGCATACATGTAGACGACGGAGGTGGGCATGTAGATACAGGTACATCTGCAGATTACAGGTACATCATGCACACATGTAGACGACGGAGGTGGGCATGTAGATACAGGTACATCTGCAGATTACAGGTACATCATGCACACATGTAGACGACGGAGGTGGGCATGTAGATACAGGTACATCTGCAGATTACAGGTACATCATGCATACATGTAGACGACGGAGGTGGGCATGTAGATACAGGTACATCTGCAGATTACAGGTACATCATGCACACATGTAGAAGACGGAGGTGGACATGAAGGAACAGGTACATTGTGTTACTGTGTGGACACGATATGCTTGTAGATGCAACTTGGAATAGGTTAGTGAGAATCTCGAGACAGGAATGAGAGTTTGTCTGAGTTATATAATATAATGTCTGCAGATGGTTAAGTTATTTTACTGTCACTTCACTGATTTTGTTTCATAAATGATTCCTGGACATATTTCAATATTTCTAATTACACAAAACAAAGCCCTCAAATGTGAGATTTTAAGGCTGAAATGTGATATGTAATAGTGAAATAAGCACATTCTGATATCGGTAAGGATTCAGAAGAGTTTATCTCATGTACAGAATATAATTTTAATGTCAGTGTTTATGAAGGTACATCTTCATGACAGTTTGTCAGTTCAATAATGTTCAAAACAATGACATTCAGTTCATGTAGCAGTATTTGATTTATGTCAAATCAAATCGTTTGAAATTTTATGTGCATAAACTTAATATGTTAAAGGTTTTCTTGTTTATCAAATTTTACTCCAGCCTAAAAGTTGATTTATAATGAGAGTGATAGGAGCGATAATGTAAATATTATTCTTGAAGGTGGTTCCAGTGTTTGTAACAAATGCTTAATGAAAATACTCAGTGTTGCTGCGAAGAAATTGTATTTAGTTGACATGTTTGTTTAGCAAGCTTGCTTGTGTTTAATGTGATAGTCATTTACACAGACCTCCCAGCAAGGTGAAGACCATGATGCCTGGAGAATAAGGAGTGTGGTCTCTGTCTGTCTTGCACAAGCAGACTGACACACCCACACCCACACCCACACCCACACCCACACCCACACCCACACCCACACCCACACCCACATCCATACCGAAGGCCCGGGTTTCTATTCCCCACATGGGTACACTGTGTGAAGCAAGGTGAAGACCATGATGCCTGGAGAATAAGGAGTGTGGTCTCTGTCTGTCTTGCACAAGCAGACTGACACACCCACACCCACACCCACACCCACACCCACACCCACACCCACACCCACACCCACACCCACATCCATACCGCAGGCCCGGGTTTCTATTCCCCACATGGGTACACTGTGTGAAGCCCATTTCTGGTGTCCTCTGCCATCGTATTGCTGGCATATTGCAAAAAGTGGCGTAAAACCCAACTCACTCACTTCTTGGAGGTCTGTACAAAGTCTGGCCTGTGCCAAAAGTCATGTAATATTGTATGAGAGGATATCAGGTGAAGTGTTTGAAGATTTAAAGCATTTGTGATATCATACATTCCATTCACTGGTTGTTTTCCATACTTCAGATTAAATCTGTACATACATTGTGTGTAATTGTCATGGAAACCGAACAAGATGGTGTATCCTCGGCCAAACTTACACAATAATCAAGCAATAGTATAGCAGTGGATTTTACAAGATGGTGTTTTTAACAAAATCGTTCTAACACAATACAATAACTTTTTGTGTGGCTGTATTCAGGATTTTGGAAACATGAATGAATTAAAATTACGTTTACTCACTGATTTGTAAGTTACCGAATGTTACTATGCAAACATTTCAATGAGTACCTGGACTTGTTGTGAGCCTTGCATTGATCCTGTAGTACATGGTGTGTGTTCTTATAAGTATTGTCAGGTGATCTTCACGGGAAGTTCATATCGGTGTCAACGAGACAGGAATGTGGAACTCTGTCTAAACCAGCACGTCGGTAACAAGAGGACAACACAGCATGAAGTCTGCACCTATGCAGAATGCAATATTAATAGAATTTTCCTAGAAATTTTCATAATTTTCCAAAATTGGGACCAACCATTAGTTATTTTGGTAAAACTTTTAATAGAAACCGGATTCTTTTGTCATTCACTGTTTCAAGATATAAATTACTCTCTCACAGAAGAGGAAATGTACAATTTGAAAAATTTATGAACAGTTCCTTTCAAGGCAATTAGCATGTTAATTTTGCTATTACAAAACAAAGTAAAAATAATTTTTTGTTTATTTTCCACAGCTTAATAAGCTACAAAACCTCTAGAAAGATATTTTCAGTTTAAAGAAATGATTGTTCAGACAGAAAGCAATGTCAAGGGAAGCAGTTTCTAACACCAACTGTCTATACTGGGACACAGTTCCATGACAGTCGTAACACTGTTGATGTATAGTTGAGGGAATGTGCCCCAGAGGCCCAGGTTTAGGAGTACATGTAATGAATGTTGTTGTATTGTCAGGGATATGTAGGGAGGCTGTAGTATAGATGGTTGTATTGTCAGGGATATGTAGGGAGGCTGTAGTATGGATGGTTGCTGTGGTGCATCACTGTTGCAAATGACCTACACTTGAGATGTGCTTTCAAGTTCCATGCAGATGTAGGAGATAATTTCTAGCTATTTTTCTATGCCATAAACTGACACTCTGTGCATGTGCAGAATATGTGTTGTACTGGAATAAAATATATTAAGAAAGGATGTGAGACTGGTTGTTTTTGTCATTCCATCAAATTCAGCTCCTGATGAGTGTTCTGTGTTTCTATGGCCCAAGACTCCAAGTGTAGCAGCAAGGTCATTACTACTGAATCAGAACAGACACATTGTGACATGATAACAACATTCATTATGAATCTGTAATATTTTACACTGCCATATAGCAATAAGAAAACTGAAAATAAAAAAAACTGATATGACCACGATGGCGTCACTCAATGACTCCCAGTTGATCTTGAAACACCTGTTTCTATTTTCTGTTGAAGTAAGTAATGTTGAGCACCGTTGTCTCGATATTCATGGGACCAGGAAAATTTATCGAGTTATCCGTACTTCGAGACATCCAACCAGAACATATCATCACATATCACTATGAAAGAAAACAAAACGCTTCTCAGTATGTTTTGATTCGAAACTATGATCCCTTATCGGTAGTGTTTAGTTGTAACAGTGAGTACTTCCTAATTAATTCCTTCTTAATTAATCCTAATCAATAACAAACAAGTGACACCTTCAACTCAATTAGTCCTAATTAGTTTACACTACCACATCCCTTTGATTCATGTCGCACCTTGTGGAAACAACCTTAGTTCAGAAGGATACTTGCCCATGAAAGGTTGGTGAATATCGAGTTTCTTTGCAAATATGGAGTTAAAAGGATAAGTTTGCTTGTTGGGACCATGAAATTACATCGAGATATCCGAAATATCGAGACATCCGTATCGAGTTAAAAGAGCTTGAATAATGATAAATTATGAAGGATTTTGTCGGGACCGAGATATTGAGTTATCAGAGTTCGACACACTGGTGCAAATTTGTGCTTAGTTATGTCAGAAAACGACATCACTAACGTCACGATCAAGACCACGAAGTAATTCTCTCGTCTAAACACCACCACCAAAGAATACAAATGACACAGCATAAAATTGGGTTGCTATGACATTCTGGCGAGTGAGCGCCAGTTGTTTTCAAGTCCATCTTTATTTTGCGGGAAGTTTGTATTTCTGTGGGCATTTTGGAGTTTGCCACTCATGTGCATCAATAAGTTTCAGAATGAACAATGTTGTGTTTATTAAGAGTTAAGGATGACGGAGAATCTGTTGCTTCTGTTGGATTCTCCTTTAGCAAGAAGTTCAGGGTCATCCACAATAAGTATGAGAGTAGATCTGTTTTGAGGATGAAAAGTAAAGGACTAAACGAACTGCCCTCAAATATTCCTCCTCTATTTGAAATAGGTTCTAAAGTCAGTACCTGTTTAAGTAAAGGCAATCTTTCGCGGCAGTCCAACAGAATCCAAACCTGTCTTGTCTATCCAATTCTTGCAGAAGTGGTACATTTTTGCTTCTTTAAATGGCAAGTTTACACGAAAATTAATCTTTTGTCTTGCACTTTTTCTGCATAAGAAGTGTTTGTCAAGCAGTCTCATAGCCAAAACAGCACAGATATCATAAGTAACTAATTTACTTTTTGCATTATATCGATTCATATTTTGCACATTTACCGAGAGTTCTATGTCAACAATAAATACATGATGACTTATGTCTTTGTGTTTACCGAACAAGTGGCTATTACCGAACAAACTTTCATTTCATTATATTTTTCTCAGCTTGCTGGTCGTGAGAGCTTTTCTGAGCATGTAGCTTCAGAGCTTCCAGAGTACCTTCCAGCAAAGCTTTCATTTAACATAGAAAATATAAATCGAAACAAGAAGAAAAGAGAACAAAATAAATCAATTACTCAAGTTTCAGTTACGTAAGTCATATACTTAAAGTCCCCCAAAAGGCCAAATGTTTGTTAGTTTTAAATAGTCGTGTTTGCTTCGTCCTATAAGAATATGATATTTATAGACAACAACAGTTCGGTTATTATCACCTCTGTGCATGTTGAAATAAGTAATTTCATGACAAATTACCCCTTCAACCTAAAAAAGAACATGCATACAAGTCAGTTAAATACGATCGATCAAGTAATACGTTCTGTTGATATGCAATTTGTGCAGAACATTGGCGAAATGAGGAAAATTAAGGGTAATCTTTGATCTTTGCAACCCCCCAGAACGTTTCTGGCTCCGTTCTGTTCCATGTAAGTTACATAACTGGCCGTGCAGTATTAGGACACAAGATCTGCAAAACACCCAGCGATTTACTGTGTTTGGTAAAAGTCAATGTTTCTTTGGGAGTAGTATTGTTCGACCTATGCACAAACAAGGTATAACATCCTCTCTGTCAATGAGAGTACTGAAGAAATTAAGAAATGGACACGGAACACAACAGCTGTCAACACCGGTTTTCACTGTCACCAGACCATAGCGCCGTTGTAAACCTGTACTGTTTAGCTTCAGACAATCAGGTGTAAAGAAACATGCCAATGGGGATCTCACGTACATTATCCGTGTCATCCTCTGTGCATGGTTCTTCAAGACTGCTTTTGCTAGTCTCTGACCCAACTATTTGGTGGGTCTGCAAGGTTCATACTATCCTCCATATATCCGCAAACTAAAGGTTTTTCCAAAGAATATTATTTAATATTTTTTTAGAGACGTAACCTTTCAGTGCAACTATAAAATATATTCATATCCCTGAACCAAATACTAAATACGAAATAACAATAGTTATATCATGCATTGGGAAGGATATCTGTATATTCAACTTGTTTCCAAAACCACTATGCAAGTGGAACAACATGATGCCTAAGTCAGCGATTTTCATCGTAACGATGAACAAAACTGATGCATTTATTTCCTTTCGAACTATATGCCCATGTCAAATTCTGAATTTCTTTGTCTGTAGGCTGTGTCTATGTTTTTCACTACCAAATCAAATTACTTCCTATTGTCCATTCACAGCTGCTAACATCACTGGTGTCCAACTTGTGTCATTTCTGTTATCAATATGAATCATATTACAAGACAGGAGATCACGATAGAGGAGGTACTCAACAATTTGAACGTCACCACCCAAGGAAGCTGCATGGAGACTGTTGTTCCCAGAATCATCCTCCACAGAAAGATCACACCCTTTTTGCACCAATAGATCAAACACCTTCCTTTTAACCACTGAATGTTGCCACCATCACGGGTGTTTCACCATTTACTCCTCTGCTGTGCTTGTCAGCTATTTTACATGATAAAAATACTTTCAAGAATCTGGACTCTGCCTCAATAAGATGCAGCTTGAAGTATGTTGTTCTTGTGTTTAGTAAACACCTTTAGATCACATTCGTTTTTCACCATCAGGCCAAAAGCTTCCTTTTGTCCCTGCACAGCTGCTAACATCACTGGTCCAACTTGTGTCATTTATGCCATCAATATGAATAATGATACGAGACAGGAGATAGTAACGGGAACGGAGGTACTCAACAGTTTGAATGTCACCCTCGAAACCTACATTAAGACTATTGTTGCCAGAATCATCCTTCACAGAAAGATCACACACTTTTTTGCACCAATGCTGCCACCATCACGGGTAAAAATGAAAAGAATTGCAGCATTTATGTCCTTTCGAATTATATGCCCATGTCCAATTTCTAATGTTGATATTCTTCCTCTGTAGGTTGTGTCTGTGTAGTGTCAAGTAGGAAATATCAACATAAGCAGCAGCGACTAGTTTGTTGCCTCCTTCACATGCCATACCCTCTGCTTTCAAGTAGAGAAATGACTTTTTCGCTACCCTCACTTTCCGCCACCATCATTGGCGTTTGCCCATTTTCATCCTTGCTGTTTTGATCATCTAAGCCTTGTGAAAAAATGTAGTCCACAAACTGTACATTGCCACTTACGCAAGCATAATGGTGTATGTTGCTACCTGAGTCATCTTCCACTAACAAATTGCAGCCTTTCCTCACCAGCAGATCGAAGACTTTCCTCCGTCCATTCTGTGCAGCCACCATCACCGGTGTTGCACCATTTTTTCCTCTGCTGTCCTTGTCAGCTACTTTAAGTGAAAGAATACTTTCCACAATCTGTACATTGCCACTTACGCAAGCATAATGGAGTATGTTGCTACCAGAGTCATCTTCCACTAACAAATTGCAGCCTTTCCTCACCAGCAGATCGAAGACTTTCCTCCGTCCATTCTCTGCAGCCACCATCACCGGTGTTGCACCATTTATTCCTCTGCTGTCCTTGTCAGCTACTTTAAGTGAATGAATACTTTCCACAATCTGGACATTGCCACTTACGCAAGCATAATGGAGTATGTTGCTACCTGAGTCATCTTCCACTGACAAATTGCAGCCTTTCCTCACCATTAGATCGAAGACTTTCCTCCGTCCAATCTCTGCAGCCACCATCACCGGTGTTGCACCATTTATTCCTCTGCTGTCCTTGTAAGCTACTTTAAGTGAATGAATACTTTCCACAATCTGTACATTGCCACTTACGCAAGCATAATGGAGTATGTTGCTACCTGAGTCATCTTCCACTGACAAATTGCAGCCTTTCCTCACCAGCAGATCAAAGACTTTCCTCTGTCCATTCTGTGCAGCCACCATCACCGGTGTTGCACCATGTTCTCCTCTGCTGTCCTTGTCAGCTACTTTAAGTGAAAGAATACTTTCCACAATCTGGACATTGTCACTTACGCAAGCATAATGGAGTATGTTGCTACCTGAGTCATCTTCCACTGACAAATCGCAGTCTTTCCTCACCAGCAGATCAAAGACTTTCCTCTGTCCATTCTGTGCAGCCACCATCACCGGTGTTGCACCATGTTCTCCTCTGCTGTCCTTGTCAGCTACTTTACGTGAAAGAATACTTTCCACAATCTGGACATTGTCACTTACGCAAGCATAATGGAGTATGTTGCTACCTGAGTCATCTTCCACTGACAAATCGCAGTCTTTCCTCACCAGCAGATCGAAGACTTTCCTCTGTCCATTCTGTGCAGCCACCATCACCGGTGTTGCACCGTTTTCTCCACAGCTGCCCGTGTCAGCTATTTTACGTGAAAGAATACCCTCAACAATCTGGACACTGCCTCCATAAGACGCAGCATGTAGAATGTTGATATTGTCCTCAGTTGACACCTTCAGATCACATTCGTTTTTCACCAGCAGGTCAAAAACGTCCTGTTGTCCATTCGCAGCTGCTAACATCACTGGTGTCCAGCCTCTGTCATTTATGCTGTCAATATGAATAATATTTCGAGACAGGAGATAGTCACGGGATAGGAGGTACTCAACAATTTGAACGTCACCACCCACAGAAGCTGCATGAAGAATGTTGTTCCCATAATCATCCCTCACAGAAAGATCACACCCTTTTTGCACCAACAGATCAAACACCTTCTTTTGACCATTGACTGCCGCAACCATAACGGGTGTTTCCCCATTTTCCCCTCTGCTCTCTGTGTCAGCTATCTCACGTGAAAGTATGCAGTTAACTAAAGTACCATTATCACTGACAGACGCTGCATGCAGAATAGTATTCTCCATGTTATCTTTTACAGACAGGTCACATCCTTTCCGAGCAAGGAAATCATACACTTTCCTACGGCCATTTTCTGCTGCTGTCATAACAGGCGTGAGCCCGTTCGAGTCTCTGCTGTTAATGTCGGCTATCTCTCGTGATAGGAGATACTGAACAATCTCTACATTGTCACTTCTGCAAGCGGCATGGAGAATATTGCAACCATCTTCGTCTTTTACGTTTAAGCTACACCCCTCACCCACAAGAAGATCAAATACTTTCTTCTGACCTGCACAGCTGCCAACATCACTGACGTTGCTCCATTCTCATCTCTACTCTCAATGTCTGCAAAACCACGTAACAAAATGTCTTTAACTAACACTGCATCATTGCTGAGACATGCAGCATGAAGGATGTTTCCACTATCACAAACCTCCAAGGGGTCACAGTCGTTTGAAAGGAGAAGATCAAAGACTTTCCTATTGCCTTCTCGTGCTGCCACCATCAACGGCGTGTCTCCATCATCACATTTACTGTTGACGTCAACTAACTTCTGTGAAAGGATGTCGTTAACGATCATGACATTGTCACTTACGCAAGCATAATGGAGTATGTTGCTACCTGAGTCACCTTCCACTAACAAATTGCAGCCTTTCCTCACCAGCAGATCAAAGACTTTCCTCTGTCCATTCTGTGCAGCCACCATCACCGGTGTTGCACCATGTTCTCCTCTGCTGTCCTTGTCAGCTACTTTAAGTGAAAGAATACTTTCCACAATCTGGACATTGTCACTTACGCAAGCATAATGGAGTATGTTGCTACCTGAGTCATCTTCCACTGACAAATCGCAGTCTTTCCTCACCAGCAGATCGAAGACTTTCCTCTGTCCATTCTGTGCAGCCACCATCACCGGTGTTGCACCGTTTTCTCCTCTGCTCTCCATGTCAGCTACTTTACGTGAAAGAATACTCTCAACAATCTGAACATTGCCTCCATAAGACGCAGCATGTAGCATGTTGATATTGTCCTTAGTAGACACCTTCAGATCACATTCGTTTTTCACCAGCAGGTCAAAAACGTCCTGTTGTCCATTCACAGCTGCTAACATCACTGGTGTCCAGCCTCTGTCATTTATGCTGTCAATATGAATAATATTTCGAGACAGGAGATAGTCACGGGATAGGAGGTACTCAACAATTTGAACGTCACCGCCCAAGGAAGCTGCATGAAGAATGTTGTTCCCATAATCATCCCTCACAGAAAGATCACACCCTTTTTGCACCAACAGATCAAACACCTTCTTTTGACCATTGACTGCCGCAACCATAACGGGTGTTTCCCCATTTTCCCCTCTGCTCTCTGTGTCAGCTATCTCACGTGAAAGAATGCAGTTAACTAAAGTACCATTATCACTGACAGACGCTGCATGCTGAATAGTATTCTCCATGTTATCTTTTACAGACAGGTCACATCCTTTCCGAGCAAGGAAATCATACACTTTCCTACGGCCATTTTCTGCTGCTGTCATAACAGGCGTGAGCCCGTTCGAGTCTCTGCTGTTAATGTCGGCTATCTTTCGTGATAGGACATATTCAACAATCTCTACATTGTCACTACTGCAAGCGGCATGGAGAATATTGCAACCATCTTCGTCTTTTACGTTTAAGCTACACCCCTCACCCACAAGAAGATCAAATACTTTCTTCTGACCTGCCACAGCTGCCAACATCACTGGCGTTGCTCCATTCTCATCTCTACTCTCAATGTCTGCAAAACCACGTAACAAAATGTCTTTGACTAACACTGCATCATTGCTGAGACATGCAGCATGAAGGATGTTTCCACTATCACAAACCTCCAAGGGGTCACAGTCGTTTGAAAGGAGAAGATCAAAGACTTTCCTATTGCCTTCTCGTGCTGCCACCATCAACGGCGTGTCTCCATCATCACATTTACTGTTGATGTCAACTAACTTCTGTGAAAGGATGTCGTTAACGATCATGACATTGTTACTGTAACAAGCTGCATGCAGGATATTTTCACCCTCATCATCAACCACAGAAAGGTCACACCCCTGACGTACCAGTGCATTGAACACCTTGGTCTGCCCTTCCATTGCCGCGCACATTACTGGCGTTAACCCATCCTCACCTCGGCTCTCAATGTCGACTATCTTATTTGACAGAAGGTATGTGACTATATCCACACTGTCACTACAACATGCAACATGGAGAACAGTGCCACCTAGATCATCCACAACTGACAGGTTGCATCGTTTCTCAACAAGAAGATCAAACACTTGCTTCTGTCCGTTCCTTGCTGCCACCATCACTGGGGTCTCCCCATCTTCACCTCTACTCTCTGTGCCAGCTACCTTATGATTCAGGAGATAGTTTACGATATACACGGACCCACCAGAACACGCAGCATGAAGCATGTTGTTCCCGTTATAATCTATTGCTGACAAACTACAGTGTTCATCTACTAGTAAGTCAAATGCTTTCTTATTTCCACTGCATGCTGCTTTCATCAGCGGAGTTCTACCTGATAGGTCCTTTCTCTCAAGACTTATTTCCCCATTTGAAACCAACCCTTTGACAATATCAGCATTGCTGCCAGAACATGCCACATGAAGTATATCTTCACCATTATCTAACATCAATGAAAGATCGCACTTTTCTTTCAGCAAAGTATTGAAAACTTTTTTGTGTCCTTTAGATACTGCAATCATCGCGGGTGTAAATCCTCCCGGGCTTACGTTATTGATATCCACTTCTCCTTTGGATATGAGTTGTTTCACTCGACTATTATTTCCCTCAAAGCAAGCTTTGTTGAACATTTGATTTGGGTGTTTTTGAATGATGGTATCTCGCCGAGATGATGTCCCATGGTGTTCAATATCTGCAATGATACGAAATATGTCACAACATCAGTGATGGGATCAGCTCGGTAAGAAGTGCGCTGCAGGGATGCCATGCTGAATGACAGACCAGATTTAATATACATTGATGGCGTTCTGAATAGGTTCGTGAGAACTCATGATGGTAAAATCAGACCAGACTTAATCTACATGGATGATAACACATGACCTGATCGTGCCAGGGCCACTGGAGCTTACATAGTGCAGGAGGCCCTGTCTTCATGGGATGGGCAACTAGGTCAGCAGAAATCAACCGTGTCGTACACATCTGGATCTACCTACACATCACCCTCGATCATGACGTACTGGAACTCGGTCATGCTCTTACTGAAGAGTGGAACAGCCTTCCCCTCAGCAAATATCATGACACTTACTGGGAGCAACGGAGAAGTTGCCATGGTGTGATCACATACACACTACTGAGAGATGTGTTTTTGGACGACTAATTTGTTTTAGTGTATTTCAACGTTTCAGTTGTGATCAGATATTCTCATTTTGATGCATGTTCAGACTGATTCTTGATGAAATGCTTCTGCTGGCTTAGTGGGGACAAACGGCAACATGTTTTTCTTTTTCACTCTTCTCTACACAATATTGTATTCAGATAGTTCAACTGGCTTGATACATTGAATGGTGATCCTCACAAAATTGGATGCAGTATATGTAGAAAATAAATTGCGTAAAGGTACTATCACGTGGACCCAACTAATTCAGAAACTGTGGGGCGGTGGGGTAGCCTAGTGGTTAAAGTGTTGGCTCGTCACGCCGAAGACCCGGGTTCGATTCCCCACATGGGTACAACGTGTGAAGCCCATTTCTGGTGTTCCTCGCCGTGATGTTGCTGGAATATTGTTAAAAGCGGCGTAAAACCAAACTCAGTCAGTCAGTCAGTCAGAAACTGTGCGGCTTGTAGGTTGATAAGCTTGATTCTGAATGGAGTGATAAATAATAGAAAGATATAAAAGTAACCCACTTGGAGCTCTTCTTCTGTCTCTGGCAGATAGAGACTCAGACAGTCCCTCGGGTGTTGCGTGAAATATGTTGTCTGTGTAATAATTTTTAATGTCTGAAAATTGAAACATAGATTATATAATCTTCCACAGACGCTGGTAGCAATGCTGTTAAGATATGTGCATGACAAATAACCACTGGTCGACAGAAATAACTTTACGGACGGATTCTAGTATCTATATGTAAGTATTTTCTTTCGATCATGATCGGGGCACTCAAATGATGAGATCTATTTTTTTTAAAGAATAGTTCCTGTTGCTGCACTGTTCATAGTGCAAGGGACAGAGAGAGTATTAAGCATTTTAAGAAAAAGAAAACCTTTTTAAAATGGAATTTAGAACCTGGTATGATGACGAGGGACATTTGACTTGCTTGATAACGGTGTTAGGAACTACACCGAAACATCACATCTATTGCACTAAATAAGTTGTCTATGCATAAAAAGTATTCCTCTTAACAAAAAACAGAAGCTACAAAATTGGTGGTACTTTCTTGTAATACCTATCCTCAGAACATGCCAGTAACGGTATTTGTGAAAACATGGTTACTTTTATGACTGAGTTATTTACTCAATCCTACCACTTCAAAGAGTTTGCAAATGGTTTTATCATGAGATAACCAAACGGTATCATAGCTTTATATCCCAATACTTCCTATTGATAATTTAAGTAATACAGTTCGATCATCCCCTATGTGTAGTTAGTAACGTACATGAATCCAGGGGCTGGGTCATGGTATCACCCTAATGTTTTGTAACGCCAAATACGGTAATTTGTCAACCTTATCAGGGCGGTCTACAAGTAATCGAGTTTGGACCATATAGTCCAGGAATTGACATCACAAGCATGGCTACTGAAGACAACTTCTGACCCGGATTTTTATCGATATCTGAATTAACCTTATACACCTACGAGTTTCCTAAGGGTGAAAATGTCGAAGGAAGGGCCAGGCAAACATAGAAAACACTAAAACAATGATGTTTTCCAAGGATGGGAGGTAATTTGATGACGTAATTTCAAAGGAGGATAATGTAAAGTCGGCGCCACTGATCTCTTAAAACATCTTTCATCTATTGATTAGTTGTAAACATATCAGTTACCATTATTATATGTTATCCCAGAAACATGTTGGCTTCCGGCACTTGCATGATCTCTTGCACCTTGAACTATCCAATTTTCTGGAAAAAGAAACATACTTGTAAGATGCTATTGTAATTGAGCGTGCTTTATCATTATATCAGTAAGATACTACTGTCAACTCCACATAAATGTCCGGATATCTGATGTAGTGGACACCAATCAAATTGGCGTGAACAACAAATAAAGTCTTCTCTGGTGTGGACATCCGCCATTATAGGAAATATGGACTCATCTTCCAAAGCAGCAGTTCTTCAACAACCGAAGTTTATGGAGATTATTTTGGTTACATCTTTGACAGTTTTTCTCGATGACGTTGCGTCTGGTCGTATCTCGTAATGACGTAAGCGGTTCCTGGCTGTGTTGGGTGGACACATCGGAGTGGTCTGGAATAGTCTGGGCAGTGGTCACTGAAGTCTGGAGCAAGTGACGGAGATGTGTCTTCCGTATCTATTTGTCCTGTCTTGGACTGGCGACAACTGGGCGTCCTGCTCGTGGGCGATCAGCAACTTCATTACTGTTCTGATAACGTCTCATCTGCGATGAAATGGTGTTTGGAAATGTGCAGTCCCCTAACGCTGAGCCATCCCCAACCCTGGAGAGACCATCTCAGTAGCCTCATGCAAATTCAAACAATTAAGCTTCCCAAATCTGCAGCAGTTTTTGATACTCATGTGCTCGACTCAGTGTATCGAGATGCACATGCACGAACGTGTTGCACATCCCCATGCCGAATCCACTGACGTCGTGAAGCGCTGCGCATGTATATGTGGTTGACTGATCATGCATATCAATAGTATATTGGAGCTCAGCAGACACAACTTTAGGGGGATCAGGGGGATCAAGGTGCATCACATAATGTCATCCAAGTCACGTGATCATAATAAGGCAAGGAAACTCTTGAATATGCAAATGAATGCATGACATCATAGGTCAGTAAAGGTTAACATAGCTATGACGACATCACAATCACCTGTTGGCAACGTAATCAGACTCGCATACCTTATGAAAACTCGCCAATATGCATGAAAACTTCACCACTATTCATTTATGACAGATAACACATACGCAACAAATAAAGGTTCAACAAGGTGAAAAGCCACGACCTCTCTGATTTAACCACCTTCAAAATAACAAAGTTTGTACAATACATCAACTCTTACCTATAATGTAAATGTGTCGCTTCACTGGTTAAGGAATCGTCTGTGAGTGAGTGAATGGGTTAATATTTAAGGTCACATCGGCACTATCTCAGCCATAAAACAATTTATACAATAAAAATGTTTTAAAAAATAAAAACATTTTGGAGAGTAAAACCTGTCGACGATGGACAGTAAAAATACTAGAGTATCACAGATATGAATATAAAACTAGCAAGTAATCTAAAACATTTTATTTGAAGAAGACAGTACAATATAAAACACGGGCTATAGATCGCCAACAACTGAAGGTAGATCACCATACTAGGAACCATGGGGACTTACATTACTTTTGCTAACTGCATGGACCCTAGTTGGATTTACACCACCCCTTCAGCCGCTGGTAGGAAGATTTAGCCAAAATTAAAATAACATAAATGCTATGATTAAAAAGTATGGTTGCGCGAAATTAACTTTGAAAGTGTTTGGGACTTATGTACCCTCTCAGAAGGACAATGATTTTATGATACTGTAACCCCCTTTGAGGATACAGCCACTAACAATTGCAGCTGCTAATTCATACTGCCATGATTAAAATACCATTTATCTATTTACAAAACATATTATTCAAAATGTATGCAATAATTATATTGCCACTGAAAATTCAATTATTAAATGATAATTTACATTATAAAAAAGATCCGTAATTGTTTTGACATTAAAATATTTATCCCTTTTGATGGAAAAATCAATGCGGTCAAGCAGGACATGCTTGAGAAACGCTTGTGTCACTAATAGAACTTAAAGTTAATATTGTGTCGCTCAGTGTTGAAACTGGAATAACTCTGTTGTTTTGGGTGTTGTTTAAAGAAGACGTTTCTCGCGGAGATAAGATTGTGCATTCACCACCACCAAAACCGTGTTGACACAACCCCGTCTGCTCGTGTGGTATTTAATTAAGTACTTTCAACACTATACCTCTACTTCACTTTGGAGTAGATAGCTGGGAGACATTAGGTCTGGGCTGTCAGTATTTGAAAAACTACTGAATTCAGCACGTTATATTCAATTCAGGTGACATGACACCATTGACAATGCAAGTGAATCAGAAGCGTTAGGTTGCTAGCTGAAATATGGGAAAGTACCAAGCACGTTCTTGTGATGAGAGAGCTTATCTGGGACTTTAAGATACCTGAATTTCAACAAAAGCTTCGATTCGATTGTCACATACATGATCTACTTGATTTTCACACATTGCTAGTATTATACGCTTTCTTTCCACTCTAATTTTTGTAAATTTGTACTAGGTGTAGGTAAGCATGTGTCCAGTAACGCAGTATTAGCAGAATGCGGTAGATATTGTATTAGTATTGACTATCAAATTAAATGTATCCGTTACTGGTGTAAACTATTATATATGGCTACCGATAGGTACCCCAAGCAATCTTATATTCTTTTGAAAAAGCTTGATGAGTGTAGCAGAATTACTTGGGCATCTTATATAAGATGATTGTTAAACACGTATGGATTTGGTTTTGTGTGGGTAACGCAAGAAGTTGGTAGTGTAAATGATTTTGTATTTATGTTTAAACAAAGACTTGTAGATTCGGCAAAGCAAAATATGTTTAGCAAAATAAATGAATCAGCACATTTATATTATTATTGGATGTTGAATACTATATTTCTAATGTACATCTAAAGGAATATCGCCGTTATTTATGCTTATTACGTATTCAACAATTGCCTCTCCTATGTAACGTAAAATGTCAAGATGACAGTGGGTTAAGCAAAATATGTAAAATGTGTAACCGCTATAATTTTGAAGATGAATTACATTTTGTACTTGTCTGTGATGCATATGCAAATTTAAGAAGCAAATACCTACCAGAATTTAATTGTCCATCTGTTTTAAGCAAATATCATAAGTTGTTAACAAGCAAAGATAAGAAATTACTTATAAAAATTTCATTATTTATTAAACATGCACTATCTAAAAGGAATTCTATCCAATGTTAGAAGAGACATGTATATATATATACCTGTGTATATGTTGAAACCATATTGTCTATATATCATATACCACTTTGCATTTATTGTACACGGGCCAATGGCCTATATACCGAAATAAATTCTTCTTCTTCTAAGCTTTCTTTCAGATATTGAAGAGAAATAGGGGAGAAGGTCTTCTGCGCTGTAAATAATTCACTATTACTCAAACACTGCATCATACCCTGCAGCTTTAGTCACGTGATGATTCACTCATGACGTGGTATACGTGTTGAAGCATGTCACAAGCCATAGGGTTCTCAAGTCTGATCAGGTTGTCTATAGGTGAAAGCGATGTCGTCATACCTACGATTCATTCATCTTGCTGACCTATGACGTCATGCATTGATTTGTCTATTCATGAGTTTCCTTGCCTTATTATGATCACGTGACTTGGATGAGCCAATCAACATCTGATCCGCCTTGATCTGCCTGATCCCCCAAAAGTTGAGTCTGCTCCAACCCAATATGCTACTCATATCTAATTGAACTGATGGTGCGCTGAAGGTGATGCCCAGTAAAATACATTTTGGCTATGCAGGATATTATACCCTGTCACAGCCTGAGATGTCGTACTTCTCTTGGATCACACAACACTTAAAACTCAATCCTAGAACACATAACTCATTCAAACAACAGACACCCCTCGACTCCAAAATATATATTTAAGGTCACATGCAACCCAAAAATCAAACATATTTAAAACAAAATTATCACTTATTCATGACATATAATATACATTGCTGATTATGAAAAAAACATCATATAAACAAAATTATAAGCGTACAATCGCAAATCAAAAGTGCAATATTCTGTACTTGGGTTTACTTCCCTAGAAACGAAGCAGCCGGGATACCAAACCCAGTCAGAGGGGGTGGGTGTGCACTCAAGTGTAACGGCTGGTTCATTTGCAAGTGTCCTCACGGCTCATTGTGTGTGTATATCGAGATGTTGGGTTTTGTAAATACATGCTCATGTTTTGTGTATTACATTTTGCAACCAACAGACATCATAACATGTCATGTGTACAAGTATCACACCTGCCTATCTGGGTAATTACATTATGTGACAGAGACCGAACTCGGGCCATAAATCAATGCGTTTTGTTTATGGAGTATAGCCTGATAGATGTTAAGTTCAAATTGCATGTGGTCAGTGATCGAAGTTGTGTATTGAATATTGTAATTAGCAGACAGGCAGGCAGACACACAGGTGTCAATAAAACAGACATTGAGTTTTGTCTGTGACATTTCTATATCACAGTTAGAAATTCTGTCAACGCTAAATAATGACATTGCTTTCAAGTATCGAACTGAGAAAGTGACTCGGTAAGAAGAACGTGGTGAAATAGACAAATGAAATTATACAGTACAGTTGAGTGAACGCAACCAGTGTCAAGTAAAAGCATACGCTTAAACAACATGTAAATTAATTTGCTCACGATAATCCGTTCAAATAAACATTAAAACAACACAGTCACTTTCATCATGTTAGCAGAATTCCCTCTGTGAAAGGTGGTTAATGTTGAAAATATTGACAAATGTTCCACACATGGAAACATGCGAAAAGATGAAGGACGACATTATTATTTGTGAATTCGTTACTGGAAAGATTGGCATAACAAAGGTGAAACGCGAATTCATTATATTGGATTTATGTGCTATTCTTATATTGGATTAATGTGTCAACTCTGTGGATACGATACAACGAATTGTAAGTACACGTTTTATTAGAGTTTAACATGGTATTGTTTTGCAACTGATCTTTTAGATTCTTAAAAGAATTACATAAAATGTCCTCTACCACGGGATCTCCGTGATCAGCAGCACTTGCATGTTCACTTGCCTCTCATCGACACTAATATTCGCAAATATATTTTCAAAAATCGATATTACATGTAAAGACATATGAATAATATGTTTTTGTCATTTATGTTAATGGAACTTTAATTTATATGTGAATGTAGAAATATTTACTTCTCGGGGCCGGTTTTGGGTCAAATATCAGGGACCGGTTCGGCTTGTTGCCGGTTTGGGGGTAATTCTTCACTGCGTATGTGCTATGAGCGCAGCCCAGCTGTTGAAACCAGTTTTCCCCCAAGCGCTGGGGGAAAATTAGTGAATCGTTTTGAACGGCTTTTTTCTTCGCGTAATTTTTCAACTTTATAAGTTGAATTTGCATTTCTGATGATTTGTTTCGGTAAGTCCATACCGAAAGGTACCAGAAACTGCAAAGTTGTGTTTTACGTTGCATGTGACGTTTTACGAAAATCATAAACTATAAAAAGCCATCAGCACACCCCTAGACCTATCCATTTTCCAAATGTGGTACATCTGTACCCTAGCTATACCCGGTTCGTATGCTGTAAAGCAGTTTATGTAGAAAGTGGTTATTTACCTATATTCGGACCTTGTTTTGCTCTGGGTCTGCTTCTGTGTTTCTTTGGGACAGACTTAGGTCGGAGAGCTTTCTTGTTTCGTTTCAGGGAATCCATGACACAGATCTAAAAACAGCTGAATGAAAAGCGGCATAGTGCTGAACTACATGTGCTATTGGTACATCATTTGGACAATTGAATGTGAACCAATATAGCCAGTGATTGTTATTCAGTCATTCCCCAGTTGTTAAATATTTTACTCCTGTAGAACTAAGCAACATATCTATATACCTTTCTCTAAACGTTTCTAACTTGTGCTTGAATATCACTCTAAACGGCTTGACTATCAGCACAATTAGAACGTTAATATGGCAATAATTATAGAAACGAATTCGAAGTGGTGATAACATTCACTTAGCTACAACAATCACTTTTCAGAATTAGGCTGGGTTTGGATATCTGAGGTAAACATTTGTGTTATTTGTGATCGCCACACAACCACTTGTCTTGACGTAATGTGAGATAACACACGCATGCCCCTACCCCGTACACAAAAGCCTTCCGCAATGTTCTTTTCTCTTCCAGAATGTATCCTGTCCTAGAAGATTCAAGATTATATGGCAGCCTCTATACCACTGTCCTCTATTGAATCGTTATTAAAGAAATGGATGTTTCAACTGCTCTACAAAACAATCACACAGGCAAATGTAAACTTACTTACATCTCGTCTCCTTGGTGTATACTGCGCAGTTGAAAAGAGCTGGAGTTGGTGACTGCATATGTGCACTAAACAGCTTATCTATGATCACATGGTGTTAAACATGCCCCTGCCTGCAGCCAATGTTTACTCTAGATAAGACTGACAACGGGCCAGACACGTGAAAATCCGGGTTAAAATTAATCTTCAGTAACCCATGCTTGTCGTAAGAGGCGACTAACGGGATCGGGTGGTCAGGCTTGCTGACTTGCTTGACACATGTCATCGTATCCCAGTCGCGCAGATCGATGCTCACGCTGTTGATCATTGGGTTGTCAGGTCCAGATTGGATTATTTACAGACCGTTGCCTTATATCTCAAATATTGCTGAGTGCAAAACAATAAACTAACCAATCAACGACAATGGCCAATACTGGCGTCATTACAGCGTTAACGCTTGGTGACAATGGGATTGTACCAAAATAGCATATATGTTCATGTGTCGCTAGTTACTTTATTAAGCCGATAGTTGGTATAAACATAAAAACACACATACAAAAGAAGAGGAATTGAGAGTTAAAACAGTGTAATTAAAATTACTGAAATTGAATTTCACTTTGTGTGATTGATATTAGCATGACCCCTCGAGGAGTGGGGAACAAATAGTGTATATACGTCATTGCATTCATACTCTTTGGTCCTGTTTATGTTTGAAGTGGAGTGACAAAAACTGTCAATATTTTTCAATCCACTGATCCGTCTAACGTTAATGATATTGATACTACAATGTCTAGTATCTAATCAACAGTTGCAATATTGATCGCACTAAACTTTGATAAATGTATGTAGAATGACGGCTGTATCACCAGGTAACACCACATCATTACGATACACATTAGCATATAGTCGCGTGTCGCTAAATTTAACTTATACATGGAACACACGGAGAAAAAACCAGTAAGCTGGTTTATATTGGCCATGTGTTTGTGTAGCTAATGTTTATTTAGCTTTAAACAAAACGTTTGGATTCAATTGAAATATTAATGCAGAATGTGATTTCAACCCCAAATCCAAGATGGCCACCAGAACAGAAAATATTGCATGAATCCAAAACAAAACCTGAATGTTATATACCAGGTTTATTTGGTAAGGAGTATACTATATTACAAGTCGTTAAATCAAGTTTTTATTTTGCGTTTAGTCTTAAATTTAAAGCAAAAGCTAATTTTTTTGCTTTGAAAATCCAAGATGAGTGACAGTCACAATGATTACCAACACCTTACTTTAGCCAGTTCATAACGAGTACAATGTGACCGGGAATATGCCTCTTGTCCTATTCATGTTCTGTAGAAGAGGTCTTCTACTAAACTGTGATCCAGGAATAACCTTTCAAAAGAAATATATCGAATATAAAATTATTCACATCTATCAAATGGCCAAAAAGCATACTTCTATATACTTATAAGAAAAAACATTAGCAACAACCAACTGGCGATAAATGGAAATGCGATCTGGTTGGTGTGAGATTGGTGGAAGATTTTGCGCCTGACTTTGTTTCTTTCTTCGTGAACAACTACGAGCGGGCTTTTCCACACAACCAAAGTATTCTTGGGAAACATAATACCTAACAAAATTATTACAATATGTACTTTGCTTAGAAAGTGTAGATATCTAACTACGTGTATTAGATGTGTTACATTTGAGCACTTTCTAAATTGCATTGTTATTCATAGGTTTTGATACTGATGGGAAATGTATCTTTGTACAATACAGATGGTATTGCTGGCTATGCTAGCCCTAAGCTACGCGATTCTGAATATTCAGCCAGCTTAGAAATTAGGCTGGGGCATTTGCCACCTGGGAGTAAAGCTAACGTGTCAGCATTAATTCAAGAGTTGGTTCTCTTGTTTCCGGAAGCAATGCGACTGGAGTTCACCTAGTTTTCATGTGTTGAAGCCTGATTTACATGAAACTTGTGAATCCTGTTTAAAAAAAAATCAAGAATCGATTACTGTATCCACTAAATCAGTCAAGCTTTTATCTTTCCTTCATACATGTTTGTACGTATTAAAATATGAATGAATTTTAATTAGAATGGTGTCATTATTTTGCCTATGGTAAGTTGTGAAGTGGGACTTCAGGTTAATGTCACATTTGGCAGAGGTATGGTTATAGTGTGGCATACAACTTTGATTGACTGACTCCCACTCTATGTCGTACATATAAAGAACGTCATGCTAGTGCATTTGGATGTTTTGTATTGAACGAGAATATGTCATGGTAGCAGAGAAACGAGTTCGAAGACATAACATCTTCGATGTCAACACAAAACTCCCAAATGCACTAGTATGACGTTCTATTTATTATATACCCTCTTATCTTGCATTAATATGTTATTTAATAAAACAAATCATAGCGTAGCGATAATATTTTCACGCCTCTCGATACTTCCGCATTCAGGTTAGTTTGACATTACGTATCACTGCGCGCGTGGGCGGATCACGCAACTGACCTTGATCATACATTCATGAATCAAGTCCCACTTCACAACTGACCATTGGTAAATAATGACACCATTATAATTATAATTAAATTCATATTTTGACACATGCATGAATGAACGAACGACCTATTCGACTTAAAATCGATCTGTCAAGCAATACACATTTCATAAATTTAGTGGGTACTGCTAATCCCGGAAAGTGCCGAGCTTTGGAGAAAGTAGAACCGGCAGGGGTTCAATAAGGAATTTGATGACGTCATCCGCATTGCACCCCTGTATTACTATCCTAAGTTTACATGGGTATATAATAAAACGGAGGATTACGTGTCGGTATTATCAACACAAGATACTGGCACCCTTTGTTCCAATTCGTGTTGGTCTTGCAGCAATATCCGCGCTCACCGTGCACAACAGTAAACATCCATAGGTTGCCGTGGCTATCAATGAGCCCAGACCTTTATCCCCATTAATTAGATCAGGGAGACTATATAAGGTTGTAGAGTATCCCTGATTAGATGGAGAGACGTGTGTGTGTGACAGTCACAGGCCACAGACCACGTTCGGGGAACTTGGTCAGGTACTGCAAGAGGAGTGGAACCATGCAACTTCTCAGATCACTTTTCGGATGCTCATACGCAGAGTGCCTCATCGAGTGACTGATATTTGATTTATTGTTGTATTATTACTACTTCTATCCAGATGTGAAGGAGCTTGCTAACCATATGTATACCTTCAACCAGAACCCAACCCTAGACCGTGTTGCTACGCGACCTGGTTTCACATTGTGTTCACTGTAACTGCGGGTACACCTCCCCGAGACGGAAGGCTTTGTTGTAGCTGTATAACTCCTGGATACAAAAACTGTATCATATGTACCTTTCCTGTACACAGATGCAGCTGATATACCTTCCCGTGTACACAAGTGTACTCCATATGTACATGTCTATGTACACGAAGAAATAGTTGCATAATGTTACACACGCAGCTCCGAGAAAGAAGCGCGGTACACCTTGGGGACTGCAAATACTGTGACTGACATATATTGAGACACGGACCCATGAGACGTATAGTTGTCAATTATTCAGATGTGTGGACACTGACCCCATATACTTGACAAAGGCATTTGCACATGTTCCATTAACGATGAGATATCACTGCGCTAGCCTATAGTGGGTGTTTGCCCATGCGACATTGTATATTACAATGTGATGACGTATACAAAGTATCAACACCTCACCCAATCCAGACTGGAAGACAGTGAGTCCACATCCACATGGTTAGGCCTACACACGTGTGTGTGTGTGTGTGTGTGTGTGTGTGTGTGTGTGTGTGTGTGTGTGTGTGTGAGTGAGTGAGTGAGTGAGTGTGTGGTTAGTTTTTATTCAAGGAATTACCAAATAATGTGTCAGCGAATACATATATGTCGGTCTGCAAGAAGTATAAGTCCAGGACCCGGTTTTGTATCAAACTTTAATGAAGCATTAACGCGTTATACATGCAATCTTGTATATGTGTTGAAAATGGAATTTTCTCTATGACGTCAAATGGCTACAAACTTGCTTTAGTCACGATATGGCTGAAATATTGCCGATGTGACTTAAAATCTTAACTCACTCACTCACTCACTCAAATGGCTACATAAAGGTCATGTACGCTTATAAAGATAAGGGGGCCTCACTCCGCTATGCTTCATACCAAGTCACTGCAACACTTGTGCGAGAATTTGCTGTGAATAAGGACACTATACTATCGAAAACAATAAACATTTGTGACAAACGCGCACCTGGCCAATGATTATACGCCACTGTTTTGTCTATAACACAACATAAACAAATTCAATGAACAAGACATATCCTTTAAAACGTGTGCACATATACATTTCATGATATAAATAAGTCATTTTTATTTATTGTGTCAGTTTTACTTAGGTTTAAAATACTAAATGTTGGTAATGAAGTTAGTTTCATGAAACCATATGTGAACGATACGCAAAGTATACATTAATAATATAAGTGTAATCCACAGGACAGTGTGATTGTGTTTACTCTTATTCAACCGACCTTCATCTCAAGGAAATTGCCACATATGTCCAACAATGTTGACATATGACATCACTACCGATGACCGATTTCTCATGAAATGGCGGCTTCGTGGAAATGGGTGCCCACGATTTTGTGAGGGAACCTTTGTCCATAAATGTATAATGTAAGTAATCGGAAACATTCTAGCTTTATGAGCACAACGCTCCGTTTCATACCCAATATGTTTCGTTGTCGTCTTTGGTTTAGTGACAAAGACCATTTGTAAGTTGATTCTAAAACGTATGAGGAATTCAGCGATGCAGTTGTCACAACTGAATATGAAATATACATGATGTAATGGGCGTCATATCACTGGCCATAGCGAAACTTGATTTTGTAAATACTATCCAATATGGCGGAAAGCTCACTTCGGCGTTCGTGTTCGTGTATTTTCCAAACCATCCCAACCGATTCAAGATTTATCGGCGACGTTTCGGAATTATTTAGACGTGTTTCTTCACAGCAGACGAAATGTTTGTTTTTGTTCCGAGGTTTAGCCGTGTTTACGTCGTGGAATTTGATGGAAAAATTTGGGGGAATCCCCGGATTTAATGAAAACATATTACATTTGGACGTCATTATATAATGATACGCTAATAAGTGTTTGATACAACCGTTTTTTAGAGTTGCCATTATCTAATGATGCATTAAGGATTTAATGTATCATTAGGGTTTAATGTTGACATTAGTTAATGAAGCAATGATACAACCGGATCCAGATTATCAGGGTTTCACTGTAACCATAGCTCTTTGTTTCAGGCACATGTTTGGACTCCTGCGGACATGGGTTCCATGGTACAGGATCATCCTGGGTCTCACCTGCGCCGTGTTTGCCTACTTCATCATAGTCATGGTGGGTACCGACAGTGAACTGACTGCCACGTCACTGCTACTGCCCTTACATTAGGTTGTATGGCCTAAAGCTGTGAGATTTGAGCACGTGGGTATTTTGGTGCCTGAAATATTCACCTTATTGATATTCAGGTTTGATGTCCCTTGTGAGGTCCAATGCTGAGGTCAGACTTGGTGTTGTGACTGGAATACCGGAGGCAAAGTTTCACATGATCTGCAAGTATTTGCAAGTTTCTACTTGTCGTGGGTTTGAATCCCAGATTCAATTCAAATAGGAACTTTGGTTTGTAAACACCATACCTGTGTTTCATTAGGCTTGTCAGCATCTCTCACATTTGCCATATAAAGCTCTGCTCATACCTGAAGCTGACACACTGTAAACTTAATGAAGTACAGACTTGTTAAAACACTCCCTTCCCTTATCCCTTGTCATAAGAGGCGACTAACTGGATCAGGTACTCAGCCTTGCTGACTTGGTTCACACATGTCATCATATCCCAGTTGCTAGGATCAAAGTTCATGATGTTCATCACTGGATTTTGTCTGTTCCAGGAATGATAATTTACAGACTGCCACCATATAGCTGGAATATTGCTGAGCGTGGCATTAAACAACAAACTAACAACATACTAATATTTCCAGCTTACATGTTGAGAGTAGATATTTTTAATCATAGCTTCAAGTCTACCCCTTTGAGTTTGATCCCACCTCTACAGATGATCTTGTGCTGTTCTCTAACTGTTGTGTAATGCTGTGCTTGCAGTGCCTGGTGCTGTGCCACGTCCTGCACGGCCACCAACTCTACATCCACCCAGTCCACATCGCTGTCATCATCTTCAGCCTGCTAGGCTGTGTCGCTGTCACAGTTGCCGTGGAAATGATGTGGCAGTCTGAATGGACGCTAGTATTACTCTCTCAGTTCCCCTCGTCAGCTCCACATTAGTTCCACATCTATACTGAAAGCCATTAAAAATGCAATTTGACAATTATACTTTCTTTATTCACACTAATTTCAACATATATAAACCTAACTGGCAGATATGTTTTAAGTGAACATCTGTGTATAATTTCATCTGAAAATGTCCAGTCAACAACAACATCAGTGACGCAACAACAACATCAAACAAAGGAGGGGTCACTTGCAGTCAACATCGTGTGTGTCCACCGTGCGCTGCAAGACATGCTCGCAGTCTTCGGGGCATTGAAAGACACACATTTCTCAGGAACAGCTGTTGGATGGTCTGCAGCCTCTGATAGTCTGTGGTCTGATCATCACACCACCCCCTCCAAAACGATCATGTTCAAGGACACAGTTTGGCGCAAGTCTTCCTCTTTTTACGTCGATAAACCTGTTGACGTCCATCTGCAAAGGATACGTTAAACCTGGATTCATCTGACAAAATGACACCTGGCCATGTCCTGTTGCCAAGATTGGCCCCATTTGCTGCCCATCGCTTTCTGTCAAGTCTGTGGCGATGCAATAAGGTTGGACCACGGTACGGGTGACGACACCGGATGTTGAAGGCAGCAAGGCGTCCTTGCACCTTTTGGGCGCTGAAATGATGTTGACTTGTCCCAATGGTCCTCCTTGCCTAATCATCAGCTGTTTGGAACCGATTTCGCGGGTGTGAAACTCGGATATTGTGGTTTTGTCGAGCTGTTATCACAGGTGGTGCACCAGGTCGCGGACGATCAGCAACACTTCCGGTAGCCCGAAAACGTTGTCTGAGTCGACTTACAGTGGATGGATGCACATTAAAGTGCCTGGCAATCATCACATCTGAAGCACCTTGGCTGACCATACCGATAACCTGATTCCTTTCGTCTTGTGTCAAGTGTGGCATTTTCTCAAAGTGATTGAGTTCCACAATTCCTTGTGCTTTTACAGGGCCTGGGTGCAGGTAATGCATGTGCACAACGTGTTTCATGAATGTGGTTGTGTTTACGAGAAATGTCAAAGGTTCAGTTTTAAGTAACAAAGTTCATGTGAGAGGAATGCTCCGGGACTCGAACTCAAAATGGGCCAGAATAACAGCCTTTTATCTCTACATCCTCTGTATCGCAGGAAAAAATCTTCAATATAACTTTTGTAAGTTTTAGGACAACAAATACCAATTGCGTTTATAATGGCTTACAGTATATATTCTCCCCCAAGGACATGATATGATAATGTCACCCTTTTTGCAATAATTTTTCCATCTGTGATTTTTTAATTCTTCTAGCCAGTAACTGTTGATCCTGAAATATTTGCCCTAAATATGATTTGTATCATTCCACTGGGGTTCACAAAGTCACGAAAGTTTGATAAAAACCTTTGCTTTTGGACTTGCTGTGATATAATAGAAATATCGGTCAAAGTGATGTATCGGTCAACTTGCCCAGCTAAAGGATCATGCTCTGTGAACCAGCCTATGCTTGCCTGGCTAATGGGATCATGCTCTGTGAACCAGCCTATACTTGCCTGGCTAATGGGATCAAGCTCTGTGAACCAGCCTATACTTGCCTGGCTAATGGGATCAAGCTCTGTGAACCAGCCTATGCTCACCCAGCTAATGGGATCATGCTCTGTGAACCAGCCTATGCTTGCCTGGCAAATGGGATCATGCTCTGTGAACCAAGCTATACTTGCCTGGCTAATGGGATCAAGCTCTGTGAACCAGCCTATGCTTGCCTGGCTAATGGGATCATGCTCTGTGAACCAGCCTATACTTGCCCGGCTAATGGGATCATGCTCTGTGAACCAGCCTATACTTGCCTGGCTAATGGGATCAAGCTCTGTGAAACAGCCTATACTTGCCCAGCTAATGGGATCATGCTCTGTGAACCAGCCTATACTTGCCCGGCTATTGGGATCAGCTCTGTGGACCATCCTATACTTGCCCGGCTAATTGGATCAAGCTCTGTGAACCAGCCTATGCTCACCCAGCTAATGGGATCATGCTCTGTGAACCAGCCTATGCTTGCCTGGCTAATGGGATCAAGCTCTGTGAACCAGCCTATACTTGCCCGGCTAATGGGATCATGCTCTGTGAACCAGCCTATGCTTGCCTGGCTAATGGGATCAAGCTCTGTGAAACAGCCTATACTTGCCCAGCTAATGGGATCAAGCTCTGTGAACCAGCCTATACTTGCCCGGCTAATGGGATCAGCTCTGTGAACCAGCCTATACTTGCCCGGCTAATGGGATCATGCTCTGTGAACCAGCCTATACTTGCCCAGCTAATGGGATCATGCTCTGTGAACCAGCCTATACTTGCCCGACTAATGGGATCAAGCTCTGTGAACCAACGTATGCTCACCCAGCTAATGGGATCATGCTCTGTGAACCAGCCCATGCTTGCCCGGCTAATGGGATCAAGCTCTGTGAACCAGCCTATACTTGCCCAGCTAATGGGATCAAGCTCTGTGAACCAGCCTATACTTGCCCGGCTAATGGGATCATGCTCTGTGAACCAGCCTATACCTGCCCGGCTAATGGGATCAAGCTCTGTGAACCAGCCTATACTTGCCCGACTAATGGGATGAAGTTCAGTGAACCTGCCTATGCTCGCCCGGCTAATGGGATAAAGCTCTGTGAATTCATTCATGCCTGTCATCATGTCCCAATAACGACTCAATGCTCATGATGTTAATCACTTTATTGTCTGTCCAGACTCACTTGTTTACAGATCCCCGTCACAAAGCTGGAACACATGTTGCTGACTCCAAACAATCAAAGCCTGCCAAATAACCTACTCAGTAACTCACAATAACCTACTCAGTAACTCACAATAACCTACTCAGTAACTCACAATATCCTACTCAGTAACTCACAATAACCAACTCAGTAACTCACAATAACCTACTCAGTAACTCACAATAACCTACTCAGTAACTCACAATAACCAACTCAGTAACTCACAATAACCTACTCAGTAACTCACAATAACCAACTCGGTAACTCACAATAACCTACTCAGTAACTCACAATAACCTACTCAGTAACTCACAATAACCAACTCAGTAACTCACTATAACCTACTCAGTAACTCACAATAACCTACTCAGTAACTCACAATAACCTACTCAGTAACTCACAATAACCAACTCAGTAACTCACAATAACCTACTCAGTAACTCACAATAACCAACTCAGTTACTCCAATAACCTACTCAGTAACTCACAATAACCTACTCAGTAACTCACAATAAGGACCATGGAATTTTGTATTTGAGGTTTAGGTACACCTACAGAATACTGGATACCTACCTGCCATATTGTTTAGTGTCATGTCACCCTAACCCTAACCCTAACCCTAAACCTTACCCAGACCCTAAGTAAATTTGCATGCTTTCAAAGATGGCGGAAAGTATTCTGTAGTCTTACGGGGGTTTACACTTGGATGGGGTCCCAATGGTGTACTGAATCTTACTAAAGTTACTCTGACAATTATGAAGAGTGTGGATGAATGTAAGTAATTGTTGTGATGGTGCTTTACAGTACTGCATGTGAACAGTCTCCTCTGTTCTGTGTTGCAGTTACAGTACTGCATTTGAAAGTCTCCCCTGTTCTTTGTTGCAGTTACAGTACTGAATGTGAACAGTCTCCCCTGTTCTGTGTTGCAGTTACAGAACTGCATGTGAACAGTCTCCCCTGTTCTGTGTTGCAGTTACAGTACTGCATGTGAACAGTCTCCCCTGTTCTGTGTTGCAGTTACAGTACTGCATGTGAACAGTCTCCCCTGTTCTGTGTTGCAGTTACAGTACTGCATGTGAACAGTCTCCCCTGTTCTGTGTTGCAGTTACAGTACTGCATGTGAACAGTCTCCCCTGTTCTGTGTTGCAGTTACAGTACTGCATGTGAACAGTCTCCCCTGTTCTGTGTTGCAGTTACAGTACCGCATGTGAACAGTCTCCCCTGTTCTGTGTTGCAGTTACAGTACCGCATGTGAACAGTCTCCCCTGTTCTGTGTTGCAGTTACAGTACTGCATGTGAACAGTCTCCCCTGTTCTGTGTTGCAGATTACGGGTCCCTTCCTCCAGATAGGAGCGGTTGTGCTGATGACTCTCATGACATGGATTATCTCCCTTCAGTGGTTTAAACTCTCACATTGGGGTAAGGCACTTCTGTCGACACTGCTTAGAACACCACTCAAAGGCAAACTCATGGTTCAGAAAGATGAGAGTCAGATTATTCATTTAGGGAGGTCCGGCTAGGTGTCTATTATCAAGTAATCAAGTCCCACTGTGCTACCACAAGTAGTCTGTAAGGGTTGAGTGTCTTCATGCCCAAGTAGCACTGTGAGTAACAGATTAAAACCATACACGACTAAAATTTGTTTTCTGAGATTTAGATGTGAACTAGTTAAGTTGAAATGATGCAACTAACAAGAATGGGTGGTCAATCTCGCTGACGTGGTTGACACACGTCATCGTTTCCCAGTTGTGTAGATCCATGCACATGCTGTTTATCACTGGATTATCTGGTCCAGAATTAAACAACAAACAAACGTACCAACACACTTTACTGACATTGAAATACATGAAGGTTTGTGATGAAGTGTTGTGAAACGTTGCAATATATCAATGCTATTGCTACATTCTATGTTTCGAGGCCCACAAACTGTTCAAGGAGTATGCAACCATGTTGAGTGCTGGCGAACAGTGATGGAAACTGACAGTGTATTAGATTCATGTTATAGTTGAGTTTTGGACCTGTAGTTTACAATGTTTCGCAACTGTTTTGATAATCTTTGTAATTGAATGATCAAATCCAATTTTCAATTGTATACTTTCTATTGCTTAACAGTCTTGTTTGCTGACACAAGTTTTAACACAAGTCATTGGTCACTTTCTGCCTACATGTGCCCTTCATGTGCCACGCCCACTTTACAGTGATATGGCTTCAGTGAAACCCATCAGATTGTTTTCTGAAACAGTGATGACAAATATCATTATATATACCATCTGTTGTTTACTTTTTATTTAAAAAGATGGATCAAAGGTTCAGGGCGTCTCAGCTGTTGTTTAATGTTTCACAATTATCACGTGAGGTTGTCTTTAACAAGGGTTATCTCCCTTTGCAAGCTATTAATGGCCTCATTAGCTGTGTGTCCTCTGACCTGTGAGTGTGATGAGAGGAGGGCAAGCGGTGCTCATTTCATAGATGTGTCTCATTATGTTCACTGTTAGCCACGTAATGAGACAACTGATTCAACTGGTTGTGTTCACTGTTAGTCACGTAATGAGACAACTGATTCAACTGGTTGTGTTCACTGTTAGCCACGTAATGAGACAACTGATTCAACTGGTTGTGTTCACTGTTAGTCACGTAATGAGACAACTGATTCAACTCGTTGTGTTCACTGTTAGCCAAGTAATGAGACAACTGATTCAACTCGTTGTGTTCACTGTTAGCCACGTAATGAGACAACTGATTCAACTCGTTGTGTTCACTGTTAGCCACGTAATGAGACAACTGATTCAACTCGTTGTGGAGGCTCATCATCTCACTTTCACAGGAATTGTTAACACCCTGAAACTATTAAAAAAATATTTGATGGAACAATTATTCAAATAAGCTGGTTTTTTATTCATTTTCGCACATGCGCAACCTTTGAAATTCATACTGGACTACTAAATTGTGCAGAGCAGAAAAAAAAGTCTGATGATGGTGGTCCATGCAACTACCACTTCACCTCTGAATATATATAATTTGATAGAAGCAATAATTCCCTTTTCATCAAAAATGAGCCTGTGGGAAATTCAGAACCTGAGGCAGTGTTCACGAATAACGTCTGACCCTCTGACAAATCCGGCAGATTCGCAGACGGTCCAGTGAAAGTCTACAACCTGCCGGCCACAATGTCCGACTGTATATTTCACTTTGACTTTGACTGAAGTTGTCATATGTGACATGTCACACTTGTTTGCTGTTTATAAATGTAATGTTTGTTAATAAATTTCAATGCCAATTATAAGAAATGTTAAATCTGAAATATGTGTTAAAGTTTTATTCTATGGGACCTGTGAATTTTCAGTGGGTCAGACAGACCTCTGAAACTTGCAGGAACCAATGTCCTGTTACTGCTGAGGAAATCTAGACTTGCTTCCTTCAACGCTTCAGCCCCGCAGAAAGGGCTGGGTAGAAGGGAAATTAATTTGGTTCAGGGACAGTGAGATTAGTAGTCAATTGACATAGCGTCTGAGGGTTATAATTCTGAACCAGTTCTGAATGCTCAGTTTTGCTACAAATTAGAACTAAATAAAACTGATGGAATATGTACACATTGTAAACAGTTTTGTTTCAATCAACAGTTCTTCCTACAATGTCGGGCAACTATTAAGAATACTTCATTAGTCCTTGTGACTAGTGTTATGGAAAACTAAATACTACAGTGTTCAACATGACTGTACAAACATCTCCTCAAACTTGTACATATGCTTCTCTATCCTCATTCTGTTCATCACTTGCTTGATAACAGTGTTAGAACCTACACCGAAACGTCGCTCTCCAAGTTGTTCACCCATATATTGTTATCCTTCCTTAATACTGCAGTGTTCAACATTAGGGGGCATTTCCTATTGTTCCTGAATCCAAGACACCCTTTAGTCTGTATCTTTCAACATCTCCTACAAGGACCCTTGACTTCCATGCTTAGGTCTCAACACAAGTCATGGGTCACATTCTGCCTACATGTGCTCTCAATGTGCCACGCCCACTCCGGGTGATGTGACTTGTCTCAACACAAGTCATGGGTCACTTTCTGCCTACATGTGCTCTCAATGTGCCACGCCCACTCCACAGTGATGTGACTTGAGTGTAACCCCACAGATGTTGATTGCTAGAGTCAGGTCTGGGGGTCTGATGGTGCCCTTGACATGAGAGTTATTGCTCCTTCACACACAGCTTATTGTCATTGACATATATTGACATGCAAATGTTATCAGGTTCCAGATCTACATAGGATGTTGTGAGAGGTTTGAGCCTCAGTTCGTGACTTGAATGTGATACCTGCTCATGAGTTTAAATCATGTTAGTACGGAAGAGTCACTTAACTCAAATTAGAAAAGAATAAGTTGTCACTGACCGAGGATTGAATTTTTCAGGCTGCTACACTTAAACACAAACTACGTACAACTGTTACACACCTACATGTCTGAACCGTACTGGATGATTCCAGGCTGGAGTTGCCCAGCAATCCTTGTAAGGTCAGGCTTGATGACTGGGATGGACTAACAGTCTCTGAAATGAACATATTTTACGGAAAAGTACTGTTCATAAAAATAATCATCAAATAAAATGAAAAGGAGCCTAGGATTGCCACATATTCTAGATTTACATGGGCTTTCTTGGATATATTTGTTCCAGGGTATGTATGACAGACTATGACTGGGGTTATGCTGGTTTTAACTTAACCTCTGCATACTATTTTCAAGGGTCCTTACAGGAAATATGAGTGTCCTTGAAACTAAAGGGTGTAGTGTGCTTGTTTGTAGGAATGTATAATTACTTTGATAACAGGACCTTTAATTTTGTTGTCAAGAATGTGGTGCAGTGCATATAATTGTATGTCCCTCGGGATGCAGCATATCATTGTACATCCCTCGGTATGCAGCATATCATTGTACGTCCATCGGGATGCAGCATATCATTGTACGTCCCTCTGGATGCAGCATATCATTGTACGTCCCTCGGGATGCAGCATATAATTGTACGTCCCTCGGGATGCAGCATATCATTTTACGTCCCTCGGGATGCAGCATATCATTGTACGTCGCTCGGAATGCAGCATATCATTGTATGTCCCTCGGTATGCAGCATCTCATTGTATGTCCCTCGGGATGCAGCATATCATTGTACGTCCCTCGGGATGCAGCATATCATTGTACGTCCCTCGGGATGCAGCATATCATTGTACGTCGCTCGGGATGCAGCATATCATTGTACGTCGCTCGAAATGCAGCATATCATTGTACATCCCTCGGTATGCAGCATATCATTGTATGTCCTCGGGGTGCAGCATATCATTGTATGTCCCTCGGGATGCAGCATATCATTGTACATCCCTCGGTATGCAGCATATCATTGTACGTCCATCGGGATGTAGCATATCATGGTACGTCCCTCGGGATGCAGCATATCATTGTACGTCCATCGGTATGCAGCATATCATTGTACGTCCCTGGGGATGCGGCATATCATTGTACGTCCCTCTGGATGCAGCATATCATTGTACGTCCCTCGGGATGCAGCATATAATTGTATGTCCCTCGGTATGCAGCATATCATTGTACGTCCCTGGGGATGCAGCATATCATGGTACGTCCATCGGGATGCAGCATATCATTGTACGTCCCTCTGGATGCAGCATATCATTGTACGTCCCTCGGGATGCAGCATATTATTGTACGTCCCTCTGGATGCAGCATATCATTGTACGTCCCTGGGGATGCGGCATATCATTTACGTCCCTGGGGATGCAGCATATCATTGTATGTCCTCGGGATGCAGCATATCATTTACGTCCCTCTGGATGCAGCATATCATTGTACGTCCCTGGGGATGCGGCATATCATTGTACGTCCCTCTGGATGCAGCATATCATTGTACGTCCCTCTGGATGCAGCATATCATTGTACGTCCCTCGGGATGCAGCATATCATTGTACGTCGCTCGGAATGCAGCATATCATTGTACGTCCCTCGGGATGCAGCATATCATGGTACGTCCATCGGGATGCAGCATATCATTGTACGTCCCTCTGGATGCAGCATATCATTGTACATCCCTCTGGATGCAGCATATCATTGTACGTCCCTCGGGATGCAGCATATCATGGTACGTCCCTCGGGATGCAGCATATCATTGTACGTCCCTCGGGATGCAGCATATCATTGTACGTCCGTCTGGATGCAGCATATCATTGTACGTCCCTCGGGATGCAGCATATCATTGTACGTCCCTCTGGATGCAGCATATCATTGTACGTCCCTCGGGATGCAGCATATCATTGTATGTCCTCGGGGTGCAGCATATCATTTACGTCCCTCTGGATGCAGCATATCATTGTACGTCCCTGGGGATGCAGCATATCATTGTACGTCCCTCGGGATGCAGCATATCATTGTACATCCCTCGGGATGCAGCATATCATTTAAGTCCCTCTGGATGCAGCATATCATTGTACGTCCCTGGGGATGCAGCATATCATTGTACGTCCCTGGGGATGCGGCATATCATTGTACATCCCTCGGGATGCAGCATATCATTTAAGTCCCTCTGGATGCAGCATATCATTGTACGTCCCTGGGGATGCAACATATCATTGTACGTCCCTCGGGATGCAGCATATCATTGTACATCCCTCGGAATGCAGCATATCATTTAAGTCCCTCTGGATGCAGCATATCATTGTACGTCCCTGGGGATGCAGCATATCATTGTACGTCCCTGGGGATGCGGCATATCATTTACGTCCCTCTGGGTGCAGCATATCATTGTACGTCCCTCTGGATGCAGCATATCGTTGTACGTCCCTCTGGATGCAGCATATCATTGTACGTCCCTCTGGATGCAGCATATCATTGTACGTCCCTCTGGATGCGGCATATCATTGTACGTCCATCGGGATGCGGCATATCATTGTACGTCCATCGGGATGCAGCATATCATTGTACGTCCCTGGGGATGCGGCATATCATTGTACGTCGCTGGGGATGCGGCATATCATTGTACGTCCCTGGGGATGCGGCATATCATTGTACGTCCCTCGGGATGCAGCATGTCATTGTACGTCCCTCGGGATGCAGCATATCATTTCTGTGTCTATTCTAAACATTTTGATTCTCTGGACAAGTTTGTGCCAAGAAAACCCCCGGTTTGTTGCATTGATCGTAGGTCACGACTCATAATGTCAGTCACTGAACTGATGTTGACACATTTCCTTCTCCCTTTACTGAGTGGGGGCGGTGGGGTAGAGTGGTGGTTAAACCATTGGCTCATCAAGCCGAGACCCTGGTTCGAATCCCCACATGGGTACAATGTGTGAAGCCCATTTTGGGTGTCCCCTGCTGTGATATTGCTGGAATATTGCTAAAAGCGGTCACTTTACTGAGTGTCTCTCTGTTTCAGCGTTGAAGCTGTTGTGGCTGACCGTGTATGTTGCTGTGATGATAGGACTGTACATATCACCTTACTTCATCAACTCTCCGTGTGTCGCTCACGCCGATGACTTGCCGAGCAAACCCCTGATACTGGCCCACCGAGGAGCATCAGAGGTTAGTAGTGCAAATACAGGGCTCCTCTTATAATTGATACACTCCCATATGCTGGCCATAACATCATGACAACACTCTTATAATGCCCTCTAAGTTGGACACAACATCATGACATCACTCATATAATGCCCCCTAAGTTGGACATAACATCATGACATCACTCTTATAATGCCCTCTAAGTTGGACATAACATCATGACATCACTCTTATAATGCCCTCTAAGTTGTACATAACATCACGACATCACTCTTATAATGTCCTCTAAGTTGGACATAACATCATGACATCACTCTTATAATGCCCTCTAAGTTGGACATGACATCATGACATCACTCTTATAATGTCCTCTAAGTTGGACATAACATCACGACATCACTCTTATAATGCCCCCTAAGTTGGACATAACATCATGACATAGATCTTATAATGCCCTGTAAGTTGGACATAACATCATGACATCACTCTTATAATGCCCTGCAAGTTGGACATAACATCTTGACATCACTCTTATAATGCCCTCTAAGTTGGACATGACATCATGACATCACTCTTATAATGCCCTCTAAGTTGGACATAACATCATAACATCGCTCTTATTGTACCCCATATGTTGGCCTTAACATTGTTACACCCAATCTCATAGTGGCAATCCCCCTAGCCCACCATAATCTGATATGTATTAATTTTAGAGGTTAAGTATTTGATACATTAAACCTGCACATCTGCACCATGTAAAACCCAGGCCCCACTCTATGGAGGTTTCAGTAAAGTGGAGTAATGGTTCAAACTGGAGGAAACAGCATCTCAACAACTTCCAACATGCTACAGGGCTGTGATAACAGTGTAATCACTCTACACCATGGCGTGTTGAGTAACGTAGCTGCAGCAAGGTTTCTAAGATACATACCTTTCCTGTTTGTAGATTTTACCCGAGAATACCCTGATGGCATATGACTTTGCCTATCAGGATGGTGTGTATGGCGTGGAGAGTGACGTGCAGCTGCAGCAAAGTTTTTAAGATACATACCTTTCCTGTTTGTAGATTTTACCTGAGAATACACTGATGGCATATGACTTTGCCTACCAGGATGGTGTGTACGGCGTGGAGAGTAACACAGCTGCAGCAAAGTTTTTAAGATACATACCTTTCCTGTTTGTAGATTTTACCCGAGAATACCCTGATGGCATATGACTTTGCCTATGAGGATGGTGTGTATGGCGTGGAGAGTGACGTGCAGCTGCAGCAAAGTTTTTAAGATACATACCTTTCCTGTTTGTAGATTTTACCCGAGAATACACTGATGGCATATGACTTTGCCTATCAGGATGGTGTGTATGGCGTGGAGAGTGATGTGCAGCTCAGGTGAGTGTAATATCCTCCGTCCAGAAACTGTTTTTCTCAAACAGATCCTCACTATGTCTTTAAGAAGAGACTGTTTGCTTGAATCGTCCGTCACAATGTCAGTTGCTGATGCTAGGCATGTGGGAATGGGGAGTCCCAGGTTTTGCTCAGGCCATGTGATGTACAGGGCTGGATTCTTCTTCAAAATATGACTTTGTCGTTCATTGTGGAGATCCTACACCTTGATCAGCTTGACCTGAGCTACTCTACATATGCATGACCCGGGATGTCAAATAACACAAACGGCCGGTTGAGTTAACTTCATTAAATAGGGAAGCAGAGAATGTTATTAATGCTGCATTCATATATGGATTCGTTACAGCCCGAATCGGAAACATCAAACCATCTGTAGCTTCTTTTTTAAAGAAAGTTAGGACAAAGGTCCACCTGTCTCGACTATTCGGACATGTTGACAAACAACTGACAATGGTGCTACCCACCACAATAATAGACCCAACCAGTTGTAACACGGTCTGTAGTCAGACAGATTACACAGAGTTACCTCCCTTCCCTTGTAGGGAATCTCTAGTCAACGACGGTTGACTAGTTGTTCTTGTATGGTGCTAAATTTTAAAGAGTTGAATAACATCTGTTTATATCAGTTATTACTGTATGCAAATGGGCCTAATTCTGTATGTTTATGTATGGCATTTAGTTAAAACAATAAAGACATTGTTGTTTTAATTTTCAATTGTAATCTGTCAATGACATAAGTTTACCAAAACACGCAATTCATTAGTATTCACTTGATCAGGTCAAGCTGAACAAGCTGTACTTTGTGTTGTGTTGTTGCATCTTGTAGACTAAAGCAGATCTGTCTGGAAGTGTCATCAGTTCTGTCTGTGTATGAAGACTGGTTGTGCTGGGTGTAGAATCTGCCTTACAGTTACCTCTAGTGTATTACAAGCTGGAAGTGTCATCAGTTCTACCTGTGTATGAAGATTGGTTGTGCTGGATGTAGAATCTGCCTTACAGTTACCTCTAGTGTATTACAAGCTGGAAGTGTCATTAGTTCTACCTGTGTATGAAGACTGGTTGTGCCGGGTGTAGAATCTGCCTTACAGCTACCTCTAGTGTATTACAAGCTGGAAGTGTCATCAGTTCTGTCTGTGTATGAAGACTGGTTGCGCTGGGTGTAGAATCTGCCTTACAGTTACCTCTAGTGTATTACAAGCTGGAAGTGTCATCAGTTCTACCTGTGTATGAAGATTGGTTGTGCTGGGTGTAGAATCTGCTTTACAGTTACCTCTAGTGTATTACAAGCTGGAAGTGTCATCAGTTCTGTCTGTGTATGAAGACTGGTTGTGCTGGGTGTAGAATCTCCCTTATAAATACCTCTAGTGTATTACAAGCTGGAAGTGTCATCAGTTCTACCCGTGTATGAAGACTGGTTGTGCTGGGTGTAGAATCTGCCTTATAGTTACCTCTAGTGTATTACAAGCTGGAAGTGTCATCAGTTCTACCCGTGTATGAAGAATGGTTGTGCTGGGTGTAGAATCTGCCTTACAGTTACCTCTAGTGTATTACAAGCTGGAAGTGTCATCAGTTCTGTCTGTGTATGAAGACTGGTTGTGCTGGATGTAGAATCTGCCTTACAGTTACCTCTAGTGTATTACAAGCTGGAAGTGTCATCAGTTCTACCTGTGTATGAAGACTGGTTGTGCTGGATGTAGAATCTGCCTTACAGTTACCTCTAGTGTATTACAAGCTGGAAGTGTCATCAGTTCTACCCGTGTATGAAGACTGGTTGTGCTGGATGTAGAATCTGCCTTACAGTTACCTCTAGTGTATTACAAGCTGGAAGTGTCATCAGTTCTACCTGTGTATGAAGATTGGTTGTGCTGGATGTAGAATCTGCCTTACAGTTACCTCTAGTGTATTACAAGCTGGAAGTGTCATCAGGGGTTCTACCTGTGTATGAAGATTGGTTGTGCTGGGTGTAGAATCTGCCTTACAGTTACCTCTAGTGTATTACAAGCTGGAAGTGTCATCAGTTCTACCTGTGTATGAAGACTGGTTGTGCTGGGTGTAGAATCTGCCTTACAGTTACCTCTAGTGTATTACAAGCTGGAAGTGTCATCAGTTCTACCTGTGTATGAAGACTGGTTGTGCTGGGTGTAGAATCTGCCTTACAGTTACCTCTAGTGTATTACAAGCTGGAAGTGTCATCAGTTCTACCCGTGAATGAAGATTGGTTGTGCTGGGTGTAGAATCTGCCTTACAGTTACCTCTAGTGTATTACAAGCTGGAAGTGTCATCAGTTCTACCTGTGTATGAAGATTGGTTGTGCTGGATGTAGAATCTGCCTTACAGTTACCTCTAGTGTATTACAAGCTGGAAGTGTCATCAGTTCTACCTGTGTATGAAGATTGGTTGTGCTGGGTGTAGAATCTGCCTTACAGTTACCTCTAGTGTATTACAAGCTGGAAGGGTCATCAGTTCTGTCTGTGTATGAAGACTGGTTGCGCTGGGTGTAGAATCTGCCTTACAGTTACCTCTAGTGTATTACAAGCTGGAAGTGTCATCAGTTCTACCTGTGTATGAAGACTGGTTGTGCTGGGTGTAGAATCTGCCTTACAGTTACCTCTAGTGTATTACAAGCTGGAAGTGTCATCAGTTCTACCCGTGAATGAAGATTGGTTGTGCTGGGTGTAGAATCTGCCTTACAGTTACCTCTAGTGTATTACAAGCTGGAAGTGTCATCAGTTCTACCTGTGTATGAAGATTGGTTGTGCTGGATGTAGAATCTGCCTTACAGTTACCTCTAGTGTATTACAAGCTGGAAGTGTCATCAGTTCTACCTGTGTATGAAGATTGGTTGTGCTGGGTGTAGAATCTGCCTTACAGTTACCTCTAGTGTATTACAAGCTGGAAGGGTCATCAGTTCTGTCTGTGTATGAAGACTGGTTGCGCTGGGTGTAGAATCTGCCTTACAGTTACCTCTAGTGTATTACAAGCTGGAAGGGTCATCAGTTCTGTCTGTGTATGAAGACTGGTTGCGCTGGGTGTAGAATCTGCCTTACAGTTACCTCTAGTGTATTACAAGCTGGAAGGGTCATCAGTTCTGTCTGTGTATGAAGACTGGTTGCGCTGGGTGTAGAATCTGCCTTACAGTTACCTCTAGTGTATTACAAGCTGGAAGTGTCATCAGTTCTACCTGTGTATGAAGATTGGTTGCGCTGGTTGTAGAATCTGCCTTACAGTTACCTCTAGTGTATTACAAGCTGGAAGTGTCATCAGTTCTACCTGTGTATGAAGATTGGTTGTGCTGGGTGTAGAATCTGCCTTACAGTTACCTCTAGTGTATTACAAGCTGGAAGTGTCATCAGTTCTACCTGTGTATGAAGATTGGTTGTGCTTGGTGTAGAATCTGCCTTACAGTTACCTCTAGTGTATTACAAGCTGGAAGTGTCATCAGTTCTACCTGTGTATGAAGATTGGTTGTGCTGGGTGTAGAATCTGCCTTATAAATACCTCTAGTGTATTACAAGCTGGAAGTGTCATCAGTTCTACCTGTGTATGAAGACTGGTTGTGCTGGGTGTAGAATCTGCCTTACAGTTACCTCTAGTGTATTACAAGCTGGAAGTGTCATCAGTTCTACCTGTGTATGAAGATTGGTTGTGCTGGGTGTAGAATCTGCCTTACAGTTACCTCTAGTGTATTACAAGCTGGAAGTGTCATCAGTTCTGTTTGTGTATGAAGACTGGTTGTGCTGGGTGTAGAATCTGCCTTACAGTTACCTCTAGTGTATTACAAGCTGGAAGTGTCATCAGTTCTACCTGTGTATGAAGATTGGTTGTGCTGGGTGTAGAATCTGCCTTACAGTTACCTCTAGTGTATTACAAGCTGGAAGTGTCATCAGTTCTACCTGTGTATGAAGATTGGTTGTGCTGGGTGTAGAATCTGCCTTACAGTTACCTCTAGTGTATTACAAGCTGGAAGTGTCATCAGTTCTACCTTGAAGTGTGTATGAAGACTGGTTGTGCTGGGTGTAGAATCTGCCTTACAGTTACCTCTAGTGTATTACAAGCTGGAAGTGTCATCAGTTCTACCTGTGTATGAAGACTGGTTGTGCTGGGTGTAGAATCTGCCTTACAGTTACCTCTAGTGTATTACAAGCTGGAAGTGTCATCAGTTCTACCTGTGTATGAAGACTGGTTGTGCTGGGTGTAGAATCTGCCTTACAGTTACCTCTAGTGTATTACAAGCTGGAAGTGTCATCAGTTCTACCTGTGTATGAAGACTGGTTGTGCTGGGTGTAGAATCTGCCTTACAGTTACCTCTAGTGTATTACAAGCTGGAAGTGTCATGTATGAAGTTCTACCTGTGTGAAGAATCTGCCTTTACAGTTGCCTGTGCTGGAAGTGTAGAATCTGCCTTACAGTTACCTCTAGTGTATTACAAGCTGGAAGTGTCATCAGTTCTACCTGTGTATGAAGACTGGTTGTGCTGGGTGTAGAATCTGCCTTACAGTTACCTCTAGTGTATTACAAGCTGGAAGTGTCATCAGTTCTACCTGTGTATGAAGACTGGTTGCGCTGGGTGTAGAATCTGCCTTACAGTTACCTCTAGTGTATTACAAGCTGGAAGGGTCATCAGTTCTACCTGTGTATGAAGACTGGTTGTGCTGGGTGTAGAATCTGCCTTACAGTTACCTCTAGTGTATTACAAGCTGGAAGTGTCATCAGTTCTACCTGTGTATGAAGACTGGTTGTGCTGGCTGTAGAATCTGCCTTACAGTTACCGCAAGTAGGGATTCATTGTTAGAATTGGCCGAATCCATGCTGCTTGGAAGAGACGCCCAAACAATCAGCCTCAGTGTCATTATACTGTGATGTGTAGCTGCTCACAATATCGATCTCTGGATCTGGTACAGATTTGATGAGACTCAGACCACTGCACTAAAGCTGGAATATTGCTGAAACTTGTGTTGAACAACAAACAAACACACAAACACTGATGTCTTCTGTCTGTTTCAGTTTGGACTGTGTGCCCTTCATCCTCCATGACAAGAGTTTGGAGAGGACAACAAATATTAAAGAAGTTTTCCCTGACCGGGTAAATGATGATCCGTCGTCTTTCAACATGTCAGATCTGAAAAGGCTGGATGCTGGCTTGTGGTTTTTACAAGTGAGTATTTGCTGAACACTGAAAGCCACCTTTCACTGTGTGACTTTGCTGTGAGGTGTGGTTACTCAACTGAAAATACCGGTGAAGATCTGGGTTAGAATTGGTCTTCAGCAACCCATGGGATCTGGTGGTCAGACTCGCTGACTTGGTTGACACATGTCATCCCCTCCCAATTGTGTCAATCAATGCTCATTCTGTTGATCACTGGACTGTCTGATCCAGACTCAATTATTTACAGACTTCTGCTACATAGCTGGAATATTGCTGTGTGCAACATTATATATCAAGTCAACCAACTCAACTGAATTACCTCCCTTCTTGTAATTTATGTAAAGATTGCAAATATGGACATAGTCCATGCCACCACTTCTCTGGATAAAAAGTTTGGTGATTAAGAAGATTATGTACATGGTGAAATATCGAGATTCATTAAGAGTTGACAAAACTTTTGAAAATGGTCAGATTAATTAGTTGATAATTGGCCATTACGGAACTGTTTTGTTAAATACAGAGATACTGAAAGTCAAGCCTGTCTCCAGCAAGTTCATGCTTATGTATAACTTACACTGACACTCTGTGGACATTGTTATCTCGTAAAATCATTCAGATTATGACACTTTGACAGTCTCCAGCAACCTCGTCAAAATGAACACCACCAAGCCAACAAATGTTTAGGTATTTATCGTCAACAAAGGCAGGTTTACAGATTAACGAGGTTAAGACAACTGAGGTTTCATTCTGCATGGAAACTGTTGAGCATGTGAATTAAGCACTGACAACAATTTTTACCTTTCTTCAGAATGACCCTTTCTGGACATCCGGGGACTTGACCGATGCTCAGCGGAGGCATGTAGCCAATCAGACGTTGCCTACACTGGAGGAGCTTGCACGATTGGGCAGGAACTACAGCGACAGCGTGCTGATGTTCGACCTGCTGGCCCCGCCACATTCGCATCCCTGTTACAACCTGAGTGTCAACTACACCATACATGCCCTCACCCAGGCGGGATTCCCGTTACAAAACGTAAGGATGGTGGTGTGTGAGTGAGTGAGTGAGAGACACACCCAACCCGACAGTTCAAGCAATATCAAATATTGAGCATGAAAAAAGCGTGTGATTCTGTTGATAAGAGCTATGTTTTGAAACTGTGACAGAAAAAATATGGCATACCAGTCATCCCCACCTCTTTGACAACTTCCCCAACGCACAGGAGCACAATGACACCAAAGATACCACCAGACAACTCCAGCACCCCAAACACACCACCAGACAACTCCAGCACCCCGAACACACCACCAGACAACTCCAGCACCCCAAACACACCACCAGACAACTCCAGCACCCCAAACACACCACCAGACAACTCCAGCACCCCAAACACACCACCAGACAACTCCAGCACCCCAAACACACCACCAGACAGACACTCCAGCACACCCAGACAACACACCACCAGACAACTCCAGCACCCCAAACACACCACCAGACAACTCCAGCACCCCAAACACACCACCAGACAACTCCAGCACCCCAAACACACCACCAGACAACTCCAGCACCCCAAACACACCACCAGACAACTCCAGCACCCCAAACACACCACCAGACAACTCCAGCACCCCAAACACACCACCAGACAACTCCAGCACCCCAAACACACCACCAGACAACTCCAGCACACCAAACACACCACCAGACAACTCCAGCACCCCAAACACACCACCAGACAACTCCAGCACCCCAAACACCCTCTGACACTGCAGTCATCCCAAACACCCTCTGACACTGCAGTCACCCCAAACACACCACCAGATAACTCCAGCACCCCAAACACCCTCTGACACTGCAGTCACCCCAAACACCCTCTGACACTGCAGTCACCCCAAACACCCTCTGACACTGCAGTCACCCCAAACACCCTCTGACACTGCAGTCACCCTAAACACCCTCTGACACTGCAGTCACCCCAAACACCCTCTGACACTGCAGTCACCCCAAACACCCTCTGACACTGCAGTCACCCCAAACACCCTCTGACACTGCAGTCACCCCAAACACCCTCTGACACTGCAGTCACCCCAAACATCCTCTGACACTGCAGTCACCCCAAACACCCTCTGACACTGCAGTCACCCCCAAACACCCTCTGACACTGCAGTCACCCTAAACACCCTCTGACACTGCAGTCACCCCAAACACCCTCTGACACTGCAGTCACCCCAAACACCCTCTGACACTGCAGTCACCCCAAACACCCTCTCTGACACTGCAGTCACCCCAAACACCCTCTGACACTGCAGTCACCCCAAACACCCTCTCTGACACTGCAGTCACCCCAAACACCCTCTGACACTGCAGTCACCCCAAACACCCTCTGACACTGCAGTCACCCCAAACACCCCTCTGACACTGCAGTCACCCCAAACACCCTCTGACACTGCAGTCACCCCAAACACCTCTCTGACACTGCAGTCACCCCAAACACCCTCTGACACTGCAGTCACCCCAAACACCCTCTGACACTGCAGTCACCCCAAACACCCTCTGACACTGCAGTCACCCCCAAACACCCTCTGACACTGCAGTCACCCCAAACACCCTCTGACACTGCAGTCACTTCTAAACACCCTCTGACACTGCAGTCACCCCAAACACCCTCTGACACTGCAGTCACTCCCAAACACTTCCCCTGACACTGCAGTCACCCCAAACACCCTCTGACACTGCAGTCACCCCCAAACACCTCTGACACTGCAGTCACACACCCTCTGACACTGCAGTCACCCCAAACACCCTCTGACACTGCAGTCACCCCAAACACCCTCTGACACTGCAGTCACCCCAAACACCCTCTGACACTGCAGTCACCCCAAACACCCTCTGACACTGCAGTCACCCCAAACACCCTCTGACACTGCAGTCACCCCAAACACCCTCTGACACTGCAGTCACCCCAAACACCCTCTGACACTGCAGTCACCCCAAACACCCTCTGACACTGCAGTCACCCAAAACACCCTGTGACACTGCAGTCACCCCAAACACCCTCTGACACTGCAGTCACCCCAAACACCCTCTGACACTGCAGTCACCCCAAACACCCTCTGACACTGCAGTCACCCCAAACACCCTCTGACACTGCAGTCACCCCAAACACCCTCTGACACTGCAGTCACCCCAAACACCCTCTGACACTGCAGTCACCCTAAACACCCTCTGACACTGCAGTCACCCCAAACACCCTCTGACACTGCAGTCACCCCAAACACCCCCTGACACTGCAGTCACCCTAAACACCCTCTGACACTGCAGTCACCCCAAACACCCTCTGACAATGCAGTCACCCCAAACACCCTCTGACACTGCAGTCACCCCAAACACCCTCTGACACTGCAGTCACCCCAAACACCCTCTGACACTGCAGTCACCCCAAACACCCTCTGACACTGCAGTCACCCCAAACACCCTCTGACACTGCAGTCACCCCAAACACCCTCTGACACTGCAGTCACCCTAAACGCCCTCTGACACTGCAGTCACCCCAAACACCCTCTGACACTGCAGTCACCCCAAACATCCCCTGACACTGCAGTCACCCCCAAACACCCTCTGACACTGCAGTCACCCAAACACCGTCTGACAATGCAGTCACCCCAAACACCCTCTGACACTGCAGTCACCCCAAACACCCTCTGACACTGCAGTCACCCCAAACACCCTCTGACACTGCAGTCACCCTAAACACCCTCTGACACTGCAGTCACCCCAAACATCCCCTGACACTGCAGTCACCCTAAACACCCTCTGACACTGCAGTCACCCCAAACATCCTCTGACACTGCAGTCACCCCAAACACCCTCTGACACTGCAGTCACCCCAAACACCCTCTGACACTGCAGTCACCCCAAACACCCTCTGACACTGCAGTCACCCCAAACACCCTCTGACACTGCAGTCACCCCAAACACCCTCTGACACTGCAGTCACCCCAAACACCCTCTGACACTGCAGTCACCCCAAACACCCTCTGACACTGCAGTCACCCCAAACACCCCCTGACACTGCAGTCACCCCAAACACCCTCTGACACTGCAGTCAACTCAATAGTGTTTTATTCAGCAAGAGACGTAGGCCATCGGCCTATGATACAGCAGTTGTACAGCAGCCACAATACATATTGCCTACATTAACAGATCTTTTCTTAATTGAATAGCCAACATACATAGCCAACTTTCTTATAAGATCACTGTTCTCACTTGACATTAAAAGATTAAGTTTAGCTAATGTTGGAAATACGTAGTATTTCCTAGCAATAAACTGTTCACGTAAATCGACATAAGCCTTGCATACTAACAAGAAGTGGTACTCATCTTCGACATTGTTCACAAGATCTTTTATTTCTTGGGACATTTGAATATCTACCCATCTCAGTTTTCAGTTGGTGAGAACTACATCTAAACTTAGCTAAAGCGACACGAAATTTTCAAATAGTTATATGCTTAATATAATGCTCTGGATATAAGTTTAACTTGTACATAGAATAATTATATGTTTTAGAACCTTGTGACAAAGATGTATGCCAAACTTGCTGATAAATACATTTACTATGACTTAGCTCTATCCATAAATTCTGATAAAAATGACTGAATATTATCAATACACTGGTTATCGCAAACAAAGCCAAATCCCATTTTAAATAACACATTTTTCCTTATCCTGACTCATGCTAATTATGCTTGTCTCCCGCTTGCGAATGATAGTGGACACTTGAAATCTCTTGAAGTTCCCTTCTAAAAAAGCGGACGTAAACTCACTCACCCACAAGTAGTCTCCCTTTCCTCCCTTTTGGCGCCCTTTTTGGTCACATGACCAGCCATGTTTGTCACTCTCTCCTTCTTCGCCCTTGAGGACGGTTGTGAGAGCACCTGGGTCCCTATACGGCACATATCCTTGTATATTTGCGAAGTTCAACGCCAGGAAATTCCCTCTACATAGGATGGAACCCTTTCAGAAGGCTCCAGACGTTGATGATGACTACAAGATTATCACCGACTCCCGTCAGAGAACTTACAAGATTGAGGATAAGAAGTTAGCGCAGCTGGATACAATCACCAGACATACCTACTTCGGATTAGCCAGATCGAGGGCTATCAATGAAACACTGATCTCGAAGTTCAAGAATTCCTTGGCCGAAGATGACCGGATGATATACTCCGCTCTACTAATGCAGAAAAGGGACCATTAGTTTATGTCGGAGCATTGAGCATCCACATCAGCGGCCTGACTCTCCTGAGAAGACAAGGGTTATTGTCAGGATGCACTTGGAGTGAACGCTTCACCAAGTCCTTATACAGAGCCCCATGTGCAGCATCTTACATCTTTGGAGGAGGAGTTGAAGAAGTCGCCAGAGAAGTCTCTCACGACACAAGGGAGGTTATGATTATTAAATCCATCAACATCTTGGCTAATGTGATTCATAAGACATCCTAACGCTACTCCAACAAATCCAAGTTTGCAGGAGTTCAGAGACCCAGAGAACAGAAGTATTCCAGCATGAAAGGAGGAAGAGGCTCCTTTCTTCGCCCAACCGGAGCTCCTAGAGGTAACCCTGGAAGAGGCCGAGCACCTAGGGGGTGCAAGAGGAATCAAGCGCTGAAGGCCAGGTTCGGAACGACTGGTGTCTTCCACCCCCCAGCCGTTCCTGTACAACCTTCGACAGTGGGTGGACGTCTTCAACAGTACTGGGAAAATTGGGGAATCTTACAAGACGACTATGAGTCCCAGATACTGCGCAGAGGGTACAAGATACAGTTGGAAGCCACCCTTCCGTTCACAAGCAACCCGATGGCCTTCAACTATGCAGCCGACCAGATAGAGAAACTGGACGACGCTATCAAGAGCCTACTCGACAAAGAGGGAGTAGAAGAGATAGATCAAGATCTCATCACGCCCGGGTTCTACTCCCCAATTTTCCTCGTACCGAAGAAGAATTACAAAGAGAAATTTCAGCTTATCTACAACATGAGGAAGTTCAACCGGGAGTATCTACGCAGACCAGCAGAATTCAAGATGATACATCTTCCTCAGCTCCGACTGCAACTAGACTTCACCATCAGGCTGCTCACCCAACTAGGATGGCTTGTAAATCTCCTCAAGTCGGAACTGGAGCCGAAAAAAGATGTGCAATTTCTAGGAATTCGACTCATCACACCAGTGAATTGCATAGTCGTTCCAGAGGATCGATGGGTCAAGATACAACAGATGATATCTCAAGCAATGCTCTCTCCATTGACACTTCATGCTTGGCAAAGCATGCTAGGTCTACTCACCTCAGCTCAAGACATGACTCACAGAGGGAGGCTACAGTTGCGCCCACTACAAGTATTTGTGAACGCCCACTTAGACAGCCTAGATCCGTTAATACTACCAGACAGCATGAAACCATATCTCCTATGGTGGACTTGGAAGTCGAATGTTTGCGGAGGAACCTTTTTGACAGAGCCGGTTTGCAATACTCATCTTTACGTGGATGCCTCCCTACAAGGATGGGGTGCGCACTTCAACAACGAAGTGGCAGCAGGGAAGTAGTCGAGTCAGGATCAGATGTCACACATCAATCTGTTTGAGATGAAAGCAATAATCAACGCCTTTCAACACTGGTCCAGCGCACTCAAGAACGCACGACTCATGGTACACACGGACAACTCCACAGTGGCGTTTTACATCAACAAAAGGGTCAACGAGATCAACAAGTCTGCTACAACTCAGTTTTCTCCTGTTCAGCAAAGTCGACGACCTGAACATCTACAGGAAGGCATGTCACATTCCGGGAGCAAAGAATGTCATAGCAGATGCCCCGACGGAATGGATGCTGCATCCAGAAGCATTCCAGTTCTTCATCATACAGACTATAGGATCCCTTAAAAAAATAGACCTGTTTGCAACAAAGTTCAACAAACAGCTACCAACATTTGTCTCACCGATTCCAGATCCTCAGGCATGGGCAACAGACGCTCTAAGCATCTCATAGGAAGGACTAAACGTTTACACGTTTCCACCTCCTGCACTGCTACCACAAGTACTACAGAAAATCAAGCAGAGGACTACGTTGCAACTGATTTTGGCCATGTCCTATTGGCCAGCGAGGGTATGGTTTCTCCTCCTCATACAAGAACTCTGAAGTCCAACCCTGAAACTACCAGAGTGGTCGAACCTACTCGTCCATCCAAACACCAAGCAAGCTCACGGGAACCCAACACTGTTCCAGTTACACGCGTGGAGCATATTAAAGCTTGCCTGAAGACCAGAGGGTACTCCGCCAGAGCAGCGAAAGCAGTTACACTAGCTCTACGCAGATCAACGCAACTTGTACGACGACAAGTGGCAGAGATTTGAAAAGTATGCAAAGAGGAAAGGCTTTACAGCAGCGAAAGCAACACATCCTCAAAAGGCGGAATACCTATGTCATCTACAACAGACGAGACACTTAAAAGGTTCAACACTCTCAACTTACTTGGCTGCCCTCAGTACAGTTATTACCATGAAAACGGGTATCAAGCTGACCAAAGTACCTGAGATTCTGGCACTACTATGTTCGTTTAAGGTGGAAGACCAACAAAAGAAATTTAAGGCTCCTGCCTTGGGATTTCAACATATTTCTACAACATCTGACCAGTGATGCCTCTAGGACGGACATCCTTTGAACTACTAACTCAGAGAATGCTGTTCCTGATCGCCCTAGCAACAGCTGCACGGATGTCAGAAATACATGCTCTGGACTTTGAATGAACACGATTTGAATCAAGACATCGTGACATCGTACATCTTGCCTCCAACCCACATGAAGGCAGAGCCCTGACATCAACACTTGCTCTGTATGGAAACTGCTCGATTACAACAATAATGGAGGGCTGCTTTTGGAGATCGAACACGGTGTTTGGCACTGAAGACGTCTCAGGCATTCACCAGTTTGGGTCACTTGTTGTAGCAAAACAACTAATGGTTCCACAAAGGCGCTGAGAAAATCTCACCCCTTTTATCACGTGACTTGTGAAAACCAACGCTCTGGAGAGCAATGGCTATAAGTCCACGCACATGTCTAGGACAGACTAGCATGACTGCTAGACCCTGTACTTGTATAGGACATACTTGTACATGAAGAAGGGTCGCATCTCCAGTTGATGTGTGCATCGAGATGGAGTTGCAACAGATAACTAATGGAATAGTAGTATATCTAAAATCCACACGAAAATGTCAGGAGAAGTTTCGGAAGAAATCTGACAAGTTGTGGTTCCCCCCAGACTCATCAGAGAGAAGTTGAAAGAACAGAATCTTCACCAGTGCTGTCATAAGTTCCCATGGGGGTAATACTGGACGTAAATCAACAACTAGTGAATCCAGAACGTGGCCTGATCCACCACCATTTCTGACAGATTCTGCAAGCATAATTAGCATGAGTCAGGATAAGGAGGAATATGTAATTTTCAGACTAAAATTGATATTTTATACTTATCCAGACTCATGAGGTTAGCTACCTACCTCCCCTCTTATGGCACTCTGGATTTCCCTGTAAATCCGGGTGTCAGGCATACATACGGAGAGAGTGACAAAACATGTTTGGTCATGTGACCAAAAAGGGCGCCAAAAGGGAGGAAAGGGAGACTACTCATGGGTGAGTGAATTTATGTCCGCTTTTTAAGAAGGGAACTTCAAGGGATTTCAAGTGTTTCACTATCATTCGCAAGACGATGTTAAGCTTAATTAGCATGAGTCAGGATAAGTATAAAATATCAATTTTAGTCAGAAAATTACATATTTCTCAGTTTTGAAGCCCAATTACATTTACCGTGCCTCATATCTAATATTACCATGTTATAACATTTCTTGGGCAAGCGTGAGTTTGGCATGGATGGAAGTTGACGTTTTCACACCAAGAAAATATTTACATGCTTGAACATGAACTCCTTCAATAACACTGCTCATCTTACATTCAAAATCAAAGTCTAGTCCCCATATTTCAGAACCATTCAAGAAAATTGACATCTCTTCACTATCAAAAACCTTAAAGAAAACATTATATGGTAATGGTCTAAGCTTTGACAAATAATGCTTTTCCAGATTGCAATAATGAACAAATAAACTGCTTATTCCAAGTTAGATTCCTAGAAAATACCACACCTAAATATCTATTAGATGAGACACATTTGATAACATTGCCATCAAAATACCATTTTTCGCCCCTCGAAAGAACTCCGCCGTTTTTAAAGATAACCACTTTAGGTTTATCTAAATTTACAGTTAAATTATACTGGTGACAATACACGCAAGACATCAGAGATAACCTAGGTACAAGTCACCAGAATTCGGACAACATTATCTGAGATGTCTGAAGGTGTGAGTTACAGTGTGTGAGTTACAGTTGTGTGAGTTACAGTGTGTGTTACAGTTGTGTGAGTTAGTTGTGTGAGTTACAGTGTGTGTTACAGTTGTGTGAGCTACAGTTGTGTGAGTTACAGTTGCTCCCTTGCTGCAGGTGTTGTGGCTGCAGTTCCAGAACAGCCGTCCCACCGGCGTCACCTTCATTGGAGATCGCTACATCCCCGTCAACGATCTCAGGAAGGACAACATGTCCATGGTCAACGTCCAGTACACAGAGCTGACCGACAGCCAGATAGAGTGAGTGACGTTCATTACGATTATCTGTGGACAAAATACAGTTACATTTTGATATCACATGCGGAGTGAGTGAGTGAGTGTGTATGGGTTTATACCGCCCTTTAGCAATATTCCAGCAATATCACGGTGGGGGACACCAGTAGTGGGCTTCAAACATTGTACCATCGAACTGGTCTTTGGTGTGAAGAGTAAAATATATAACCAATGGGTTATCCCACCGCCCCCACTCTTGGAATGAAGACTTCGACTGAACCAGTTTGTTTAGTTGTGTAGCGACGGTTAGACAGTATGACAATGGACCAGCTAGGCCCTCCTCAATCAGTATCACAATATCAGAATTGTAGAATATGTTTTATTGATTCCTTTAGAAAAATATACAAATGTCATCGTAAATAACATCAAGTCTGATGAAGATCTGGGGTAGAGTAGGTCTTCAGCAACCCATGCTTGCCACAATAGGTGACTATGCTTGTTGTAAGAGGCGACTAACGGGATTGGGTGATCAGGCTCGCTGACTTGGTTGACACGTCATCGGTTCCCAATTGCGCAGATCGATGCTAATGCTGTTGATGACTGGATTGCCTGGTCCAGTAGTAGAGGGAATGATAGTCCGAGATCAAGTCCAACAAAAGCCTCTGCAAAGCCTTATTTCCCAAATAAGGCTTTGGTCGGACCCTTAGCTCTTGCTGCCATTACCCCTACTAGTAAAATGTCCCCGGCAGCCACAATTCCCCAAGGGAGAAATAGAAATGTATTGCGCTTCCTCCCAAGGGGAATTGTGTCTCTCACCGTGAGAGAACCTCACATCACACAAAGTTGTGACGGCGGGATACGAACCCACATGTACAGCTTGCGCAGACTATACATAATGGGGTCGCACCACTCAACCGACTGAGCTACCGCGGACTTAGCTGAAGTAGGTCAATTTAACGGGTGCACCCACACATCACGTGCCACTGACAGGATCAATAGTCCTCTGTCTGGCCCATCAAGTAGTACAAGGTAGGTTCGTCTGATTTTATTTTCATTTTATCTATGTCCACGTGCCGCTATGTCACGTTGACCTCAATGAAACAGTTTAATGTGAATCGCCTATGATCTCTTTGGTGTTCGTAATAAAGGCTTGCCGGGCTTTTTGTATCCCCTGTTCTATGTACTTTTTTTTCTCGTCCTCGCTTATAGTAGACTTACGAGACTTGGATCGAATCTCTTGTTTCATTTTGTCATATTTTGTGAGTTCAGAGAGGATCAAACGAAACTCCTCCTCTGAGATTTTGTTGTCAGTGAGTGCCGCTGAAATACGGTCGCTTACCGTGTTCAGCTTTGCTTCAGCTAGAATTCTAATTTCATCGTGTTTCAACGCCTTACGATGCAGTCTGCGTGATGCAAACTTAAGCACCAACCCTAACACCCCTGTCACCCCAGCTGTTATTTCAAGGCCTAGCACTATAGGTGCGGCCACGATGGTAGCTAATAACCCAACACCTGCCGCCCCTAGTCCCATGCTGGTTGCCATAAGGGTAGTATCAGTCCCGTCCACGGCATTGAAAGCTCTATGGTACTTCTTATATAGTGCTTTCCGCTTGTCGCGGTCTTGTTCTAATTGACGTTTTACATCACATAACTGTCTCAAGCGGAACCCCGTCTACGGTTTCCAGGGTCTTCGCTACTTCATCTATGCCTGGGTACAGGCCCATCCTATAATATATATTACAAAAGATATTTTAATTGGGTTTCAGTTAACAGTCGATCAACTAACTTGAAGCTTATAAGGTATAAATCACTGTTTAGGAAAATAGTTCGGAAGTGAATAGGTAACTCTGCATCCACACGAACCCCATAGTAGGGGGGGTTTATTGAGTAGGTTATAGAACCTGTTGAGGGGTCCGTTTGTATGATGATACGGTAACGTCGGTTATTGTTCTGGGTACTCCAGTGTACTGTCACCCCGTGTAAAAGTTGTTGTTCTTTACTAACAGAAAGTTCACGGATATGGAATTCTATGATGAGTGTGGAACCTGGGGTCATACCCGGAATATGCACGAGCCCGGAGCAGGTATACTCTAACTCACCCCCCTTGGTATGCATTTAACATACCGGACTGAGTTAGCCCAACACTTGTATGACGGCCCGGAACGAAACACGAGGGTATGATACCTCTATTTTTAATTTCAGAGATATAATTACTTTCCTTAAATGAGATATAAGGTGAGGGGAAGGTTAAGTTGATTATCCATTTGGGTTCTTTAAAATCTGATAACGACACCCGCCTATACACGTTGTCTTTGAAGTGCAGGATGTATAAGGTGTCTTCCTCACCAGGCTGATCGAATCCCCCCGTGTCCCCTAGATCGTTAAGCGTAGCGTTGGGGTGAAGCCAAGACATTGCTATAATACTATTACGATATAATTTCCAACTGGTTTTCTGATAATGGTTCAGGGGTGCACTTCACCCCCATGAAGTGTATGTTGTCGGGTAGGAATATCTTGGTTAGTGATATAGTGTCTTCCACGACCACGGTGACACCCTGCAGACTGGTTTTGGAGTCGACACCCACCCGCACGTAAACGTTGCAAACGTGATACTGTTGTTGTTTCCCCCACCGTAGTTTGACCCCCTTCACGATTTCAACATCATCCTGCGAAGGTTCCCCTAGGTAGACTTGGATGACCAGTGTTGAGTTCGCCGGTAGACTCTCCAGGATGGTGACCACGCCTTCGAATTCAGACACCAACTGCAATACCACGTTTTGCATGCCCGCTTTACTCGATAGCATGTGGGCTGCCATACTGGTGAGTGGGCTGATGACTACGCTACGTCTCTGAGTCGGAACGTAAGCCACGAGCAGGGTTCCGTTGTTCACGACTTTGTTTAGGTGGTTGTCTTTGTTATCCGTGAACACGTAGGGGGAGCCGAGCCTAATATTGAGAAACCAGTCGACTTTATCGGGTAATAACACCCACTTATCATCATCGGTGAAGACGAGCGTATATGGCTTGTTTCGGGCGACGGTAGTGCTCTCAACATCTTCTAAGTCGAACAGTTTGCCTCCGAACGATGGGTATATCATCCATTTATCATCACCGGTGCGGACTAGGGTGTACCGTGTGTTGACAACCGCTCTTGAAGTATCTACTATATCACTTAGGTTGCTAGTACCACCATTGGAGGGGACTTCAACGCGTTTGTAAATGCTGTTTTAAGTTGCAAGGCATTACAATTTACCATCTACTCGGGGTCGTCGAATCCGCGTGTGTCCCCGAGGTCGGAGATCCCCACATTGATGCATTTTTTCAACTTCATTCCGGGACCTTGTGCGCTGGTCATTTTATGTGCAGGGTTATGCTGAGGTATCCTATATTCACGAGATTATGATTTATATCTAACACCGATATTATCAGCTCAGGGATGTTGCCCTGGGTTAACCTCTTATACTGCCGAGGTGAAAACGACCGGTTCTACCGTCGTTGTATTTCTCCGTTTTCACCGGTACGGCTCTCAGTATAGTGGAAGGGTGACCCCCTTGAATGTTGTCCGTTGTGCTAACCTGGCTGAGATGAATGCACAGCTCTCGATACGGTACTAGGTCGGGTAACTTAGTGCCTGTGGCGGTAGTCGTTGGTTTTATCTCGTCAGGCTGCATACCGAGTGTCCTCGCCAATGGTCGGCCGAGCCTCAAGGAGTTTTTTCCGTTGTTGATTAACACCACTGTACCGTTTGAGTCGTTCATCTTGAGTTCGGCTCCCAATGGTTTGAAGACCTCGTCGTTTAGAGAGCACACACTGTAGTAACCGTCAGTTATCTGATTGCGGACGCCATCTATGAACAGTTTATTGTTGCTGGCGTTGATGTTAGTCCATTGCGGTAGGTAGGTGATATCGCAGAGTGCGACTTCGAGTTGACCCGACGTGTTATCGATCGCGTGCATCAGCTGAACGGCCTCACCGCTCGTTATTCCTGGAAGTGTTATGTACATGATAGAGTATATATGCTCATTATATAATAGTTTTAAAATGTACAAGCCGGGAGTGTTTTATCCTAAACAGGACGTAGATTTCCCCCACATGAAGATCGTGGTTGCTCCTGGGTTGTATTTCAACACCCAGTTCATAGATGTGTTCCACAAGTATAAATTTTCGGTGACTAACGCTAAGGTAGTTCACGCTTGGCTCAACAGACCGATGCAGTTCTGGCAGAATCAACTCAACTTCGCCGTGTGGTGCGCTACAACGGGGTGTGGTGTGACATTAACCGACACTCGGCGTGGACCGCTGAGTCAGTCTGTGTTCACGTTTCACGTGTACTACCAGGTCAGGCGTATCCTCAAAGAGATCAGCGCCCCGCTCCCACAGGAAAAGGCGTGGAATGCAGTAAACAACCAGTACGATAGACGGGCCTACGAACGTATTTGCAACGAATTCGAACTAAACACGAAGACGGATTGGCGTTTGCCGGGACCGAACCACGGGTTGGGTATCCCCATCGTTCACAACATGCCCCTCGTGGAAGCCAGCGAGAAGTTGAAAGAATGGGATTACAAGTTGTATCATCACCTCACAACGAACGAGTGGGATGACCGTTACATGGCATTCGACGACAGCAAGGATAAGCGAGTCTGGAGGTTCGAGCAGGGGGCAGCGGATGACTGGAAAAAGTTCATGCTGGACACATCGAAAGGGTTTACTCGTGCCGGGGTAATCAGGTTAAACGACTCGATTCGAACGTACGTGTGGGCGCTGTTGGGTGCGCAGACGCAAACGCGTTCCAATATCCTAGGCAAGGGGACTGCTTACGACGCTCAGAAACAGTTCGTTGTCAACGTTGAGGATGCTATCAATGCTCCAGTTGATCTCCCGAGTGCCATCAAACGCTACCAAGACGTGTTGGAATACGCCAGGTCGAAAGTCGACTACGTGTTCGACGTGGGACTGTACATGGCTCCGAGCGATATGCAACTGAGAGTAAAAAAAGTGGTGGGCTACAACAACGATATAGTCATAGCC